GACCGCGGCATGATTCAGCAACGGTGCCTGCGCAGCATTGGCCCTGGGACAATGCTCCCAAACTTGTCAGTGCATCTGCAAGTCCCGGCACTGTGTTAATGTGTTAATTTTAAGCTGCACTACATTCCCTGTCCAGCCCAGCGCTGCAGCTGACATGCTGCCACCTGCTAGTATCCCTGAGCCCGCCCACCTCAAAACCCACCACTAGCATCAAGTGAAACACTAGCGCTTTCCAGTTGTCCTGACTTCCTACATCTATCTTTCTCATTTGGCTTACTCACCATATGGAATGCCCTACCCACTACCATCCTGAATGCTCCCTCATCCCAAGGAGCCTGCCGTCGACGTTCACATCACAGACTAGCATAGTTCTTCTTTTTTTCTCCCCCCCCCCCCCCCCCCCCAGGTGCACATGGTGTCGAAGGATCCTGAGACCTTTGGTCGGTGGAGTTCACAACGCTCCACCTAGACAACTACGCTAGTGGGTAGTCAGCCCCGACTCAATAATTGTTTGTTCTATCAACCCTTAAGTCTGTACTAATAGTCGTATCTTCATCCTCCCTGCAATTTATTTCTCCTTCTTGGTACCTGTGTTGAGCCGAGCTGAGTTCTTTAAAAAAATACAATTAGTTGCTGTCTGATGATCGGTTAAAACCGTGAAACTCAGAGTTACAGCAGAAACGCTTTTGATAACTCTCAAGTATGTGTAAAAATATATATAATTATCTAATCCCCCAACTACTACTTGTAGTAGCTGGTATGCCCATGATGCAGTCTATCACAACTATACTGGCCGCCCTGCTGCTGTAAGGCTGTCACAGGGAATTCCAGGATACGTTTGAAGTGACAGTTAAATCCATTCAACTTTAGGACCATCACACTGTCCCTCGGATCATGTAAGATATGAGCAATTGGCAGTAGTATCCCTCCCGCAACACAGCAGCTGACATTTCGATCACTGTCTCTCTGTTGCATGCTTCGCATTGCTATAGTACATATTAGCCTTAATTTCATAGACTAATTGGAACTGCTGCTACTATCCTGAATTCGTGCATATCACAGCTACGGTGGAGGCACGAGGATGTTTCACTTGGTGTCTACCAGGAGTGTACATGAATATCCCCGGAGTAACAGCGCGGGGGGGGGGGGGGGGGGCAGGCAGGCACAGTGGGTTGGTCTAAGACCATGATTAATGAACGAGAGGTACCAGGTTCAAGTCCTGCTTGGAAGCGGAAGGATTTTTCCAACCGTGCTGCGACCCACAGTTAATTGGGAACTCGTGACCTGGCATGAGTAAATCATGGATGTGGCAAATGGGATTTAGGCCTTTGGCCTATGGTTGGTGGATCTGATCTATCCTCCCCCACCGTTTAGGAGCCGCATCTGACGCCTGATCATGGGGTGGTGGCGTCCCACGGAAGCGGAAAGGTGGTTCTTGACCAGGGAGTTGTACAACTCCTTGTTCTTGACCTGCCCGGTACGCGAACCCGTCGAATTTATTATTATTTTATTTTAACAGCGCGGCTGGAAAGTCACTGCCCCTCGGCTGCATGCTCGCATTGCGTGTACTAGTACATCAAGTAATAATAACGTTGATTTCGGGCTAATTGGAACTACTGCAATCCTGAATTCGTGCGGTAGCAGCTACAGTGAAGTCTCGAGGATTCATTATGGCTGTGTGTACTGTATACATTCTGTCTGGTGCTCTCCAGCTATACATGGCGTGCAATCCTTTGCATACTTGTAACATTTCCCTTTGTAGCGCTATTGGGTAATGAGTGACAGGTGTAGTAGCAACCAATATTGCAATAACAGCTTGAGTTTGGGTTTGCAGTGCATTCAAGGCATAGCACAACACGTCAGCTTCAAGCAGAACAGCTCACGGTAATAGGTGTACAAAGTTACTACAAACACTGCATGCTACTGCCGATTGCCTCCCGCCAGACGGTGGCAGACATACGTACAAGCACGCGCACGCACACACACACAAACACAAGGCATAGCCTAGCCCGTTGGATAAGTCCAGGAAATGGAAGTCAAGTCGCGTCACAGTCGTGTCCAGGTGCACACCACCACAAGGCACGATTGGCTGGAAATCACCCTGGCTTGCGGCTGGTCTTGCCAGATTCCAGGACCTCCCACGAGGCAGCAATTATCACCTTCATCCCTGACAAATGACTTAATGACCTGTTCCGTTTAGCAGGCAATACCAGCCGATGTGTGGAAGCATTTACACGACCAAGCAGTCCCAATCGGAAGCAACAAGCAGCGCCATACTGGAGTGATCTTTAGCACGGTGAGTGATAGAGACAAGCAGTTGCTAACTAACAGGATTGTCTCGTGGTGATCCTTCTTCTTCCCCGGGTGACCGTAGCTGGCAAATAATTCCTGCTGGGTGGTACCACGTTTCATAACAACCTGTCATCACCAGTCACGGAAGTACCAGCAGAATGTGCAGTATAGCTGGTGCTCAATACCCGGACAAACCCCGTCCGCGCGGTCCTCGAACCCTGTGCTTGCTGATGACGTCCAGTACAGACGCACGCATCGTGCAGGCGCCGTGTCAAACAAGTAATAAAGTTATGAGAACATCGCTAAACATGATGATAGTGAAAGTGATGTAGCCGTGTCATTGCTTCCGGGAACACACCAAGCTTTAACATTCAACCCACCGCATCTTCCATGAAATGGTACAGTACTTCGAAGTAGAAATTTACACGAGTTAGTTTCATGTGTGGGTTACTGACCAAGTTACGGTTTCATGTGTGGGTTTACTGACCATACCAAGTTGAAAAGGAATAACATCAAAACATACAAAAAAAACGCATCCATTGCCAGGTATATTTAGGCCAGATTGGAGAATTCTTCACAAGAAGAAGATGCCAATTGGACATGGCTGGATTCCATCACTTGACAAAAGAGTTTGCGCTCTGCACCCCAGATACATGCAATACCTGTCCCTCCTACTTCACTCGTCTTGGAGTGGCTGTGAAGACGTCCTGCCTTTTCTCCGCCAATGGTCCCCCGAGCCAGGCAGAAGAAGCCGTGGTGACCATGTGGCCATTTGTGGACATTCAACTGCTCATAACTGACCCGGTGCCGCCCAATATCACCTATAACCATGTTCGCGCCCAGCCTGTTTACAATAGCCGGGGGAATTAAAATAAACTAGATCAGCACATGACTGAGATGTTGTACTCTACACAGCAACCAAAGCACATGAAGTTTTGCACTCTTGATATCCTTCTGTGTACTATTGATAATAAATTCACAAAATCGGGCGCTTGTGGGCACGATTCTACTTGACGTACACACAGTGTCATAATAGGAACTTAAAAGATCAAATCAAGAATCAATCCCATTGGTCTACACCCACTAATAAAAAATAAGCGACTAGTTGAGTATACATGTATTAGTACAATATTGCCCAGCTTGGATGAGGAACACTTCCATCAAGGGCGGGTCAGTTGAGAGTGTACTTCGTATCACACAACACCACTACACAGCCTGATATTATTATACCGGGGTAGCATTCCAACCAGTGATAACGACACAATATTGCGCAGCGAGTATACCGTACAATTCGTTGCCACTGAATGCACTAGCGGCACGACTTTGTGCCAAACGAGAGGTGAACTGTCGAGGAAAGAATTCGCTGGATGGAAGCAGAACAGTTTGTCCTAGTTTGTCAGACCCCTAAATTAGACAAATTGCCATAGCATTGAGCAAATAGCTTTAGCAGCTGGCTTTCGATAGGCTTGCACGTTTCACCTTCTGAACTGTTGTTCATGCGTGTGCATCGTCGATACAGAGGGTCTAGAGGGACCTTGTAGCAAGAGAGAGAGAGAGAGAGAGAGAGTACACTGACCATGTAGAACCCGTGTGCCCACAGCTCGACTGGCAGAAAGTGAAGGAAAACCCGAACAACTAAAGGAAATGAACAAGCTGTGGCTGTCCTGCAAACCTGAATCCCCAGTGGGTGCTACTTAGACACACTGCAGCTACTGGTGCATTCGATACACTGACATACATGTAGTACTCAGGGTATAGAGATACACTGACACAGCACAGTATATACACTGACACAGCACAGTATATACACTGACACAGCACAGTATGTACCCTGACACAGTACAGTATATACCCTGACACAGTACAGTATGTACCCTGACACAGTACAGTATGTACCCTGACACAGTACAGTATATACCCTGTCACAGTACAGTATATACACTGACACAGCACAGTATGTACCCTGACACAGCACCCTGTCCCAGGGTATATACATACAATGTCACAGTACCCAGCAGTGACTTCGATCACAGGTGCAATGCAAAAAGAAAGTTCAGAAGTTTTGAAAGCTCAATTTGCTTTCCGAGATCAAATCTGATTGTGAATAAGAAGCACTGCCCCCACCAAGTAGACTGACACACAGCAGTTTGCTGGCAACATACTGAACAGCATCAAATAGAGACATCCAAAATATCTGGTCCAACTTCGATAGCACAACGTAATATGTGAGCACAATGGCTTGTTGTCCAAGTACAGATCAGTTAGCTACAGCTTCTATAGTACAGATCAGTTAGCTACAGCTTCTGTAGTACTGCCACGGTGATATACACAGGTAGGCGCAACCAAACCCACCGCCGGAAAAGGCTGCCCGGCAACGTGTGCAATTCAAAAGACTACTCAATATCCCTCTCTTTCTAGCTCCCTTTGTATCGCTCATTCAAACGATTACAACACGAATACTAGAAAACACAAGGCTAAGCTAGTTCTGCTAATGACGGGAAACGCCTACACTAGACCGCTGGTCTGACTCGCAAGTAAATAAACTCAAATGGACAAAATTGCTGCTACCTCCCAATTATAACGCTCGCAGTTTCGCTGCCTGCCTCTTTAGGTATCCCATTTTGATGTGTAAGTGAGGACAGTCGCAACCGCTGTTTCGTAGGTGAGGAAAGCGTAAGTGTATTCCGCCATGTCCTAGCACTATAGCCTAGTATAGGGGAAGGCTCAGGAGTAAACAAGTCACAGTGTTGTGAGTATGTATTGTGAGTATGTATGTGCTGCTTCATACGCTGATACAGGGAGAGAAAAGAGGGATGACTTTACCAACTTCAATTCCAATGCCATGTTCTTCCTTGCCTTCCTTCTATGGTGTCAGTCAACAATAATGGAGGTGCCATGTGAATGGGTAAGACTTAGTTGCAAGTACAGTGTATCACAATTGCCCATTGAGCATGAGGTGGCGCATGGGGCTGGTAAATGGCAATAGCCACAAACGATTTGCATGGCGCGGGATGCCATGGTGCTGGTGGCTAAAAGAAGGAGCTATTTTGTGCTAAACCCACCCCGAGCTGAAAATACTTTGAAGTACACACTAGTCGCACATAACATAGCCGCTAGGACGAGTGGCAAATGTAGGACAGACCTGGGAACACTCACTTATCGTCTGAGGTACAAGTAGCCACGCCAGCCCGGGCATCCCGTTCAGAAGTTGTGTTGTCAGAAAGATGGCGTAACGATGGCGTAACCGGCAATTGGACAAAGAAGGAAGAGCTAGAGCAACAGCAAAGGAGAACAGCACTTAGGAACAGATGCGAACCATTGCTACTCATCAGATTATGTCGCGGGGGCCAGCCCCAAGCCTTCAAGGCAACAATGCTGAAACGGAGATCTCCATGAGCAGCGACATCACATGGTCACTTAAATCAAGGGACATTTCCAGGATACATGGTAGCTCAATTGGCAAAATCGCATCTATCAACTGCTATACTGTACTCGGAATGTAGTATAATTAAAAAAAATTAATGATAAGCAATTAAGCATGACTGTGTGCTCTTTGGTGAACTGAAGGTAGTGGCTCAGTCATTCTTTTCTCTTGGTGTTGTAAATGAAGGGGTGACCGTATGATGGGCTAGCACCATCGCCAGGATGAACGCATTAGAGCAGAAGAAAATGAGCGAGGCCATCCAAATGAACAGAAACGTGTTATAGCCTTCAAACTCCAGGAAATAGGCGGCGGCAAGCCAAAGACCCTGTGCAGAGACAGTCACAAACAGCACACAGAACAGCATGCACGTGAGTGAGGGCACGACCACAACAAGTCCATGTACCAACCATGCACTATTCAGTGAGCTCCGCACCATGCAAACAAGTACACTTTGCAGCTTGATAATCAAGTGATTTGCGACCTGTGCTTTATGCACCCCACTTTCACTCGTCACTTCAAGAGCCGCAAAGGCACAAACTCGCGACTAAGGCCGGCGCCCAGCGCAGGTTTCCCACTTGCTTTGTATGACACGCATCGTGCGCTCTGAAAAAGCGATATCAACAAAAATCCCGTGCACCAGACCAGCTGCAAAGTTGCACTATGTACTCTTGATATAGTGCAACATAGAAAATACTGAAATAGGTGGCCAAAAAAGCAAAAAGTGCGACCACGCCAGGATTCGAACCTGGAATCTCCTGATTCGTAGTCAGGCGCCTTATCCGTTGGGCCACGCGGCCAATCACAATGCTGTTCAGTAATTTTCAGTCCATGTGTGACGAATCATCTAGCACTATGATTTTGAATTATTACATGTATCTGGAAAGCCGAATGGATACTGACAACGCTGAACGGCAGAGTGAACGCAGGTAGACACCGCTCAAGAGAATATAGTTACAGAGGAGGATGCCACTGATGCGAGTTGGTCCAGAAAATCAAGCCGGAAACAGTGCATGTCGAAGGCCACCATTGTTATCTTGGCCAGTGTATTAGGCCACACGTTTTTTTATTTCTATGTTTCTCGTCACCCGCGCGCATACGATTCAGGAGTCTGGAAGAAAAAAAGAAGAAAAAACCCTGTGCTGCACTGTGGAGACTAGCACATGCACATATGCACCCTGGCCTGGCCTATGCGAGGTCGCTAAAGTTGTACCAAGAGTACATGAACCTAATATGTACTCTTGGTTGTACCCGAGGCTGACCTTGCCGTGTACTGACTACAAGTGCGAGGATCTGAATAGTTTCGGCACTGCTACCACGCTTGTCGGAGCTGTGCCGGAAGACTCGATGTTCTCTCCGCAACTGTTGGGGGACGCTTTCACCGCTGTTTGTCGGCAGAATGGAAGAAGGTGAGCTGCTTTCCTTTAGAGTCGTTCGAGGACCGCAGACGTTTTCTTCTCTTCTGAAGTGGACAATCGTTGATGTCAATGAGCCCATGGCAGTATGCGATGTTTTCCGTCAGCTGGAGAAAAAGATTACCGACTCTGATGCCGTAACATACGAAGATCTTGTTTGTCAAGTGTCAGCGTCGGTGTCAAGAAATAATGCCATTGAGGTCAGTGCATCACAACGAGTGGCTCGCCTGTCCAGGTTTGGGGTTTTCTTGACGATTGTTCTCCCTGAAATTTCGCCAGCACCATCTCAGCGGGGACGAACAAATGCATTTCCTGTGCTGATGCTAGGTGCCCAAGCTGCTTCTTCCGTGAAACAACCGGGAAAACACACGAGTGATGATACTCTTCGCGGTGACAGACTATTGGAGAACAACATCATCGATTGGTTGGCAGTTGCGAAGCTCGGATTCAGGAATGGCTTGGAGACTAGTGTTGGTAAATCGTTCATTCAGAAATTGCGTTCTGTCCTCTTCGAGCTCACATCTGAGCGTGTTGAACATCTCCAGGTCAGAGGGTGCGTTGCTCCTGCTTTGTTTGAGCCCCTCCTGAAGAAGAACTACAACAAGTCAACAACCCAGGCAAGCATGGCATAAACGTTTGCCTCCTCTCTCCAGGACTATGATTGAGGAGATGAGCCAGTCTTTGATGGAGCTGTCCAGTGTACCAGCTGTACAAGTAGCATCTTGGACAACAGTGCGCGATGGACTGCGATTGCTTGACAGGCAGCTGGATAGGTACATTGTGTACTTGGATGGTGCTACAGCTCGCATGAACAGTGTGCACGAGAGTATGGAGCCTGTGAGGTCCACTGAATCTAGTGAGAATTCTAGTCTGGTGCGGCATTCAGCACGAGTCTGAACCGCAGAGAAATGCCAACAGTATGGTGAAGTGGACGCTGCTATGAGTACGTCCGAGCCGTATAGCTGTGCAGTTCACCTGAATGATTTCCTGCCAAACGATCGAAAGGAACGCTACAAGTTCATCCATGGCATGGAGCTTCCGTTTCCCTATGAGCTTTTCTCCTACGACCCTGGTAGTAATGTTGGTTGCCTTTGGTGGGCATGGAAAGTACTGGTGGACCCTGCTGATTCCAATTCCACTGCAAGTTTGAAACTAGTCAAGCAATGTGAAAAGGATGTCCCATCATTTGCTACACGTGCAATGAGAAAGACCTTCATCGAACGATACCAGATGGTGACGGAGTGCAGCCCTGCCGTTTTGAGGAACATGTTCCAGTTTGTCTCCGGAGATGTAGCCCAGTCATCCTGTGCCATAAGCAAGGCTGTCCAGGAGAGATAAGCGTTTGCCCTCGACGCTCAAGACCCTGACATCGCCTTTGATCTACGTGCTCTGAATGAAGACCGTCAAGGGCGGTATGATGCATTCTGGGAGGAGTGTGACAAGTTCCTAGCTGACCAAGCCCTCACGGCTGTTGATGACACATGGCAGCAGCGATCTCAACCCGTGATCTTGTTGAACAAGTTGGCAAATGTCTGCCCGAAGACAGCCCTGTGCCCTGTGAGTCATGGGTGAGATTGCAGTTCTGCCCGAAGAACACCTCCCATGCTGCTGCTTGTCACTACACTGGAAAGCTAGATATCAAGCACATGGTCCAGGCTCGACAGCGCAGCCACAACCATGTCGACGGCCACTACGCCGCTGACCAGTTCCGCTGCTTAAAGGAGTTTGCCGTCATGTTCCGGGACGTTTGTACTCTTGGGTGCTTGGATGACAAGCATATGCTGAAAGTGGGGAGCCAGATTTTCCAGTAGCTGCTGTGGACAGAGGCAAGGCTGTGTTGGTCAGCAAGGATGTCGCATTCGTTGTTGCTGATCACGACTTCACAAAGGTCAAGCTAGTACCATCTGTTGCTCTAGTTGTCGATATCCCCGAGTCCGTGCGTGACAGTTTCTACCGTGGGCAAGTCATAGTCTCTTTGAAGGAGGCTGCGTTTCAGCCATCATCTGCTGTCCGCCATGCTGCTGAGCTCACAACATCCCTCAAGCAGTACAAGGTGAACACCATCGTCCATCCTGTCCTTGCTCTTTACACTGATGGTGGCTCGGATCACAATGTCATTTTGCATCCGTCCAACTCTCTCTTATTGCCCTGTTCAAGCATCTGCAGCTGGACTACCTCATTGCAGTTCGGACGTGCCCGTACCAGAGCTACAAAAATCCTGTGGAGCGGGTTATGTCCCTGGTCAACCTCGCACTGCAGTCAGTTGGCTTGATGCGAGCCAAGATGTCTGACGACATGGAGGCATTTCTTCCAAGTCAGCAAACAGCACAAAGGATGTGCGGGAAGCTGCCACAAAGAAGGCGGGTCTAATGGATGCACTGCTGCAGTCTGTGGAGCCAACAAAATCGTTAGTGTCGGACTACCTCCACTGTGTGCCACTCGTCGGCAAGAAATTCGTCACTCAGCAAGCTGCCAATCATGAGAACACTGATGCTCTATGCGCCATCATTGCAGACATCGATTCAGATGTGCGGCGTTCAATGACCAAGGCCCAGTTCTCCTTGCCAAAGTTCCAGGAGTTTTTCCAGCACTGCTGCATTGCACAGCACAACTTCTTCGTTGTGAAGAAGTGTGGCAGTCCCAAATGTGCCATCTGTGGACCACCTACACTGCCGGCCGAGTCGTTCCGGAAGCTGCACCACTTCCCGTGCCCTGCCCCTGATGGTGACCACTACAAGGCCTTCAGTGATGTGTGGGGCACCCAGACCTCTGGAGAGCACCGTCCTTCATTGAAAAAGGCAGCTGGAGATGGAGCAGCGAAGACGATTCCAGCCATGACTATCCTGCTTCGGAAGGAGAAAGTCCGTCTAGCCGTTAAGTGCTCTGAGTGTACGAAGCCACGCTGTGTGTTCTCAGAGTCCCGCTTGACGAGGGACAACACTTCTGCTCTCGAAACTGCAACTCTGATCTCCGAGCTAGGTATGTATGGGTGGCCTGTGTGGCGCGTGTATTCTTGGTGAATGAGCAGGGACTGTCACCAAAAAGCAAAAAATACGACCACGCCAGGATTCGAACCTGGAATCTCCTGATTCGTAGTCAGGCGCCTTATCCATTGGGCCACGCGGCCGACCACAACACACACAAGTAATTTTCAGTCCATGATGGTTTTCGTCAAGGCCACTCCAGTCAGTTGACCTATTGATAGGATTATATCGTCAAGGCGCACTGTGGGACTACGGCTGCAAGTGGTGCAGTACTACACATCAGGGGGTGCAAAAAAGGTGAGGCTCTAAATCGCCATTGGCGTAAGTTGGTCAAGAAAATCAATCCAGAAACAGCAGATGTCGAAGGCCACCATTGCTATCTCAGCCAATGTGTCAGTCTAGGGATCACAATCAGCCCAGATCCTCATCAGCTCAGTGACCCACGGACAGCCGTTTTCTGATTCACGGCATACCGGTACCGTGTATGGAGGCTCACACACGTTCCGCCAGAAGGTGAGTGAAAATCAGACTGGAGCTCATTGTGCAAGCTGTGAGGGTGCTCAGCTGAAGAAGTTTTCGAAGCACGAAATCAAATATTCGATAAGCAATACTCTCTTCGCTTCAAAGCTTCACCTTTCCTTTCGATCTCATGCTTTTCCATTTTGCATTGTATCCATGAAAAGGGAAGGTGGTGTGATACTTGGATTCAGATACTAGTAAATAGACGTGCTCAAAAATCTAAAAGCTCATGATACCTCATGGCTTGTCTTGAAAGCCCTCCGAGGCACAACACATTCCGAGCCAGTCAACCCGTAATCGACACAAACACAAACACAAATCAAGCTCACTTCGAAGTGCTTTCGTTTCTTCCCGAACCCTTATCCAAGGTGTTTGTGTCCCGAAATAACGTGTTTACTTTTCTTGCTTTCACAAGTTTTGAATCCGTCTGACTTTAAAACACAACATTGCGAGCGTGGGTCCATTGCATGAATTTTACGGGTATCACCCACGTTCCCCGTATTCGTTATGTGCAACTAAACCTCCCTGATATCAGTGAAAAGAATTGGGTGCCCTCTTCCGGATAGCTTATTGGATATATGGATACAACGCAAAATGGAAATGGACACTGAATGTCGCCAAAAAGCAAAAATGCGACCACGCCAGGATTCGAACCTGGAATCTCCTGATTCGTAGTCAGGCGCCTTATCCGTTGGGCCACGCGGCCAGCCACAATGCTCGTAAGTAATTTTCAGTCCATGACGGCTTTGGTCAAGGCCACTCCAGTCAGTTGACCTATTGACAGGATCGCATCATCAAGCACTGCGGTACTACAGCTGCAGGTGGTGCAGTGCATGCCCCATCAAGGGGTGCAAAAAGGCGAGGCACCCACAAACTGCCACCCAACCCCCTCTTCCTTACCCTGCATAGTGTATACCATTGGTGTAGAGAGTACAGTTGGGCATACACAAATGACATCACCATGAACTCAATGGACCTTCACCCCACAATAAAACTGACAACGCAACCTCTTTTCTAGTCCATCCAAAAGCCTCGTTCTCAAATAAAACAACCGTGTCTTGCCTCCTCTTCCTCGGCATGATGCTCTCATGATGCCCAAGGAGCAATATGTATAGGCATTGCCGCAACTTCTTTATTTATTTGCTGCAGCTGAGCGCCTGCACTAACTCTCTTTTTGTAGGTAGAATGTATATTAATAGTGAGGTTCTGCCACACGGTAAAACGTGCCAAAGTACATATGGAAACCTCGCCGCGGTACAGGATCAAGTTTCATACGGATTTTTCATACCGTTTTCCGTGTGAAGCACGCTTCACACGGACTGGACTCCGTGTGAAAACTGAGCGTTCAGAGAACATGTGGCGGGAGTTCGAGCATACTACGAGCATGCTACGCACAGCAGAACCGGTGCAATGTACGAAAAATCCGTGTCAAACTTCACTGCAGTTGACACGGAGTTTGGTACGTAGTTCGTGTAGCAGAACCTCTCTAATGGAAGAGTTTTCGAATAACAATATCGGTGAAAAGAGTCATGTGCTGCTTCCTCTTCTGGCGAGCATGTTGATCATGTGCAACGGATAGGAATTGTCGCCAAAAAGCAACAAAAAAATGCGACCACGCCAGGATTCGAACCTGGAATCTCCTGATTCGTAGTCAGGCGCCTTATCCGTTGGGCCACGCGGCCAATCACAATGTTCACAAGTACTTTTCAATCTATGATAGATGTCGTCAAGGCCACTCCAGTCAGTTGACCTATTGATAGGATTACATCGTCAAGGCGCACTGTGGTACTACAGCTGCAAGAAGTGCAGTGCACAACAGGGAGTACAACAAAGGCGAGGCTCTACATTGCTATCGAATGCAGCCTAAGAAGAATGTACGTATCTGTGAGACATTAAAAAAAAGAAAAGTTAAGAGTGTACGTACCTGTGAGGCTCCCCAGAGTGCTACAAGAGCACAGCCTTTCTTCACAGTAAGCCATGATGCCGGCAAGATCAATGGTAGTAGACATAAGTACCAGATAAAATACTGCAACACGCACACACGCATGCACGCACATACACACAGTACACAGCACACACACAGCACATATAAGACATTCCAAAACAGAACAATATTTATAGGCGAGTGCAGTTGTAGATGAGCAAGGATACCATTGAAATCAAATGATCTGCTGCTTTCTATCCATGTGAGAGTATCGCATATCATACAGTGCACATTATGTTATTCCTAGTTATTTCTCCGGTAAAACAGGCTGCTTTCCGTAAGACCCAATGACATAACATCCAGCAGACTGACGATCAAATGCCATGAATATCACTTCGCAGCAGCTTGATTTCATGCCTCTTTTAGACTCCTGGAGTCGCATCAATAGCACGCTGCAAATACTGCAGTACATCTATATGTAGTACCTAAAGAAACAACAGCCGTACGGCTACGGGGAGTCACATGCGTGAACTACCTCTGCTAAAAGGGCACACACCATCTCAGCCTTACCTGCGACGTGCACACTTTGTTGAATGTCACGAAGATGAACGTTTCCACAAAGCAACACAGTGCAATGTCGCGATACAGGAGCACACTCGTGACCAACAGCAGCGTAGCCTGGGGCAAGAACGCGGCTACAGACAACAACGATGACAAGCTGGACTGCCAGCTCAGGTAGAGCGAGTAAAAGTAAACGGAGAAGTTGTGACGATTGTCGCGCCGTGTCAAGTGATACAGGTAGGTCTCGTGCACAAACGCATCGCCAAACCTAGCCAGCGGCACACAGAGTTATGCACACAAAAGAGAGTACTTGTACTTAGCTTGTTTCAAGTTCCACCCAGATAACAGTGAAAGCATACCAGTACAGTCATGCACACTCATTCGATTCATCCGGTTCATTTTCCAAGTCAAGAAGTTGTGTGGAGTCCGCTCCATGTTCCATAACTCAAGCAGTAGTAATTGGACGGAAGTCATGCCCTTTCCGTAAAGCAATCTTTGAGTTTTAAAAGAATTAAAGAAACAAATACAGTTTGCAACTTTGCATACCGGTACACTCTTACCAGTACCGTAAAGTACCACCAGAGCGCCCCGTCTCACGAGAGCGCCCCATCTTGATTTTTCAGCCAAGGGAAGAAAATCATATGGCAGAGTGCAACAAAGTGTGTACAGTGTGAGAACCTTCGTGTACTAAGGTCACACTTGGCATGTTTTTACGTGGAGCTTGCATTCGCTCAAAGGTAAACTGGGTACGGAACTACGGATTGACTGCACAACGTGCAATGTGTGTACAAGGTCCGTGTCGCATGACCTACAGACAGGAAACCACCTCCACAAGACGACCACGAAAGGACGAGATGGTGGGGCGCTCCGGCGGTACTTTACAGTATATGTAGTACAGAGTGCCAACAGTGGACTGTGATCCTGAGAGCCTGAATATGTAATCAGCAACTACTTCAAAGTGGCAAACTGACATGATGATTGATCTAGGGCGAGGGAGTAGGTGATTGGGTTGGCTCCTACACTATGGGGTTGACTGAATTTTCATTCAAATGTAAAAATACAAGCAGTGGGGTAAATCCAGGTGATGCATATTATGATCTCAAGTAACTTACCACCAGTACATCCAGACGAACAACAGCAGAAAGCTAGTAGCCGCAGACATGGCGAATAGCAAACGCCTCGGTCGCAAGAACCGGGAAAGACCTCCCCTGATACCAGGCATTCTACTCCACGATGAAACCAGTGGACTAGCTCCATACGCTTGATCAATGAGTAGGAACATTGGCAGAGAATAGATCATCGGGAATAGTTTTGTGTGCGCCGCAACGCCCAGCAACACGCCAGCACTAACCGTGCATCGTCTATACAGCAACCAAATGCTAGCCAGTACAAGAATGGCGAGAAGCGACTCGGCGTTCCCACGTGTTGATACTGTAAGTGTCAGTGGATTGAACAGCCACACACACGCACTAAACACCGATACGCTCTCACTGTGACCACCCTGCTTGACAATTGAGCGGATGAACCAGCCAACAGCCAAGTCCAATGCAGAAAAAATCAGCTTTCCAATGCAAGCGTGAATGCTCAGATTCAATGTTAGCAAATAGGCTAGTAGCGGCGTATAGCGGTAGGTTGCCCGCTCATACGGGGATCGTCCTTCGCTGATGTGTCGTGCCGCGTCTGTGAAGACATGGTAGTCGACATCAGTGAACTTGACAATCATGTTACGATCTTGCCACTCTCCGAATACCAGAAGTGCAATTCGCAGGGTCACAGACACCACAAGTACTGTTTTCCATGATGGCATAGATGACAGCGCCATTGCTTCGAACGACTTGGTAATAAAACAGCACAAATACGGTGGGAGTTTGGCTAGCACATCCTTATCATCCCGAATCCAACAACATCCGTGCAATCCATTCCAAGATCTTGCTCACCAGCAGGCGTTCAGGATCATCATAGTTATCGGTAGTATAGAACACGCTTGTGTGTATGAGGGAATATTTCTCAATCCACCGTGGCAGAAGTCACAAATTCTCTCCTCTGACCAAAAGAAATCTCTAAAAGCGACTATACCAGCCTTGCGGCAGGGGAAAGCAGCAATAGTCGATCAACAATCAGAATCATCCCAGAATCATATCAGTCCTTCTTTGGAGAAATGGGAAATGGGGAAAGAAAGAAAGAGAGCACACTCGAACTCCATTCAATTCAAAAACCAACTACAAAAACTGTAATACTTACTTTCTGTACTGACAGTCTGTACTTTTTGAAAAAATAAACATGCTTCAGCGTCGTCATCTTCTACATGACATTGTTTTTGAATTTTTTTCTAAATTCATTATGCTGTAATCAGCCGGCTTTCAATGTAGCTTTACTTTTAAATATTTACAGTTAGCTTTCTTTCTCTGTCTACACGTCCGTCTGTTCACGGTAGTTCTCGGAGTACTATTAATAATCATTGCACTCACTGTGCTGTTGGCATTTCTGTGCCTCGATCGTCGTCCGTGACAATGAGCGACGAAGAAGAGAAGTTTATTGCAAGATTTGCAAATTTCAATTCTGATGTTATTCTCGCTACCTGGCATGTTTACTCCGATCTGGCGTACAAGAAGGTTTGGAAAATGGTGGAAGTCCTGCCCTGCGATACACTCCGCATCCCCTACCTAGTTGGTCAGGAGGAGGTAGGCTGTCCGAAGCAAATATTTGTTCCTGTCCGTGCATCGGATGAGCACAGCATTGTGGACATGGAGAAACTCCTGGAGCATGTTGGAAAGGAGATTGAGGACATTTCCAGGAAAGCCATTGTCCTAGCCATTGTGGATTCTGACTCCACTATCGTCTACTATACCATACAGTCTGGCGTTGCTGTGCAAGATGACCGTGCTGTCCGCGCTATAGAGCTGAGTGGTGATGACAAGCGGCCCGCATTGCATCGCAAGTCGCGTGGTGAGAAACGAAAGCGAGACATATCCTGATGCGGTATATGTCAGTATTGCGCTATGGTCCATACCCGCGTTATGCGGCGAAATTACCCAGTCCTGGCCGACACATGGAGGAGACCGCCTTGATGAGTTTTGGCGTTCGGGTCAGCGTAGCTTTGGCAAATGAACGCAGTCCTCTGCTCGTGTACATGGCATTGCACAACAGTGCCACTGCAAACACAGCTGTAATGCACCGGTACTGTGCTATGGATGCCGCACTGTGTCCTCGCGTTGATGCACGTGACGGACTATTCAGGTGAATTGCAAGCAGCTCCAATTGTCCTTTGGCACTGCTGAGTACTGTGAAGTGTGACCCAGTTTCCACCATAGTCGAGGATGCGGATGGTGAAAGTCATTACCGGTATGTTCGTATACTGCCCGCAAGGTACTCATGGCATGGCAATGCCTATGGCGCTCTTTTTGACCAAAGTAAAAGCACTTCCTACCACTTTGCTTCTAGTGGCAGCAATGTTTCTGGTGAGCCATCTTGTTCACCAGTTGCAAGATGTGCAGCCTGGCCTACTGACACTTCTGGCCAGTGGGAACCGATTGCTCCCTCTCTTTCTTTGCCTTTTAGTGCGATAGTCAAGACGACCCCCCTCCCACACACACATGTGATGCTTACTTATGTCATGCTGCATGCAGTTTTTTTTAATCTCTTAGTCTTACCGACTCATACTAATGTACAACAGTACTGTGTTGTGGTGAATCCTGGTTTCGGAATTTGTTGTTGCCAAACTACTAGTAATTGAGTGCTACAAGAGACTTACTGGTGTCCTCGCCACCACTGTTAGATGCTGCGTCTGCCGCTGGGTTATTCCGGGTGTTAGCGGCCTCTTCGAGTTCCATTGTGTGCGGAGAAGAAAATTCACTTTTTAGTACGTTTTCATTCTTACTAATGCTAAGCAGTTGCTCTGGAGCCCACGCTCACTCTTGTGAAAAGAGCTTGATTGGCACAACTTATTTTGGCCGAGTTGTCTGCACAATACAGAGTCGGCGTGTAAATTTGTGGTTCGTGTTTCTTGCTTCAGCAATCAGAGCTTTTACATTCATGTTTTTTCTCCTCCATTCTGGCAGTTAGGCTCCTATACTCAACCATGTAGTCAAGGGTGATGACAATTTTGACTGTTGAGTGGCTAATGAGCTGAGAGATGGATGCCATGGCCAGAAGTTTGCAAAGAAAATTGCAGACATAACCACCTATGGTATGGTGTTTGGCGTTAAAAAAAATTGTGGTCATTGTAGCAGGTTTGCAGAGAAAACAAGGGGCCACTACCAGGGGTGTCGGACACGGTACGGTCACTAAGGTATTTTCCGTACCCGGTGACTTTTGCCCCAGGTACCCCATGAGTCAATAAAATACACTGATCCAGGCTCTAAATCCCCCCCCCCCCCCTCAAGTACTTCAGATGCCTGACCGTACCACACTAAAATACCTTCCGACGCCCCTGGGTCTACAGTATTACATGAAGCAGAGCCTCTGCAGTGCTACTTTCCAGATGTGACAGCACTGCCGTTCTCCAAAAACGGCCAAAATTCAAAAAAATCAAAGTGCGAAAATCCAACCAAAATTCAAAAAATTAATAATCGGCAGGGATACAGTATACCGTACTAGGGAGTCGTAAAATACCGGTATTTTACGACTCCCAGGTCATGGCTTCTGCTAGCTCTTGATTGTCGCGGGACTCGCGGCAAGGACATAACCTGACCTGGCGAACCTGATCGATTTACCGATTCCCGGTTTGATTTGGTACGGTTATCTCTTGGAATTTGGCCGGCGATCTGACGTTTCGCGCACCGCAGTTGACTCCCGATCCCGATCCCACGAGCGTCGTCATTTTCACCAAAAATTCAAATCTCAACGGAAAATCAGCTGGCTTTGTGTGACTGGCCGTTTTAATTTTTCGCCCACTTGCTTGAACAGCTAGCCACGCGTGTCTGATCAGCTGATTTTTGTTTTGGTAAAAAGATGACGATGTACATAATATCTTCTCTGTGTTTTTTTTGTGACTTTCTGTCTTGTTCAGTTTTTTGATTATCAGTGTGGTAGTCTGTAGGAAGACGTCTGCATCTCACCTTTTGCTTTGAAGTTTGAGTGTGGTTGTTTTCAGTGATAGCTTTTTTCTGCAAGTGGACGAATGGACGGTGGAGACACAATGCTGCCTCGCCAGAATCTTGCGCAGGCGGCTGGCTCAGCTGTACAAATAGCTTCTCGAGCCATGGCTTCCAGTGGATCGTTTCCTGCTGTGGGCGAGGCAGCCTCAACTGGCGAGGTGGCCGCATCTCAAACCACATCAGTGGCAGTTCCCCGTCCTTTGGCTGCACCTCCTGCCAGCCCAGCCCTTAGTATGGTGGGAACGCCAGGTCCGAGCAGTTATGCGCCGCCAACTCCTTCGGGAATTATTCCTCAACTGCAGTACGTATTGTGTTGAAAATGGGCATTTCTCATGAGAAGAGTTGAATTGATTTCACTTTGTATTGCGATTAGTCCCATGGATGATGTATTTTGTTCGTCTATGGTCGACGAATAGATTCCCAGTTACCGTAGTTCATGATGGTTGTTATCCTTATTGCACGTTTGTTGACTGTTGACTCTGTTACTCACTTTCTGCATGCAGTTCGTCCTTTGTTACAAGCTTGCTTGAATCTGTTACTGAGAAAAAACTGAGAAACGTTACTGAGATACCACGTTAAAGTATTGCGAACTCAAGAGCGAAACTCATGGCACACACTGACACGACTGCACTGGCAGACCATTGTAAAATGACGAAAAAAAAGAGAGAAGAAAAAATAAATGTTTTTCCAGGAACCAGTTTTGGTGCATTATATTCTCTTCAAGTGAATTACAAGCAACTAGAACCAAGGAACAGTGCGGACAGATAGCATCACAAGGGTGGTAATTATTACAACTAAGTGATACATCTAGCGACGAAATAGCATGCAAGAGGAGAGAGAAACAACAGGAAAGTGAGTGAGACAAGAGGGGCTAAAATACAGTGTTCAAAGACAAACACCCACGGGACACTACATTGCTTAGTGGAGCCAGGGGTGTCGGTAAACGATTTGAGAGTGCACAAGCACGCTCACACACAAACACACACTTATTCAATGGCGGGCTCCTTCCGAACAAACTTGACTGCAGAGGTTGGCTGGGCTTGTTTCCCCTGCCTCATTTGCCAAAACGGGATTGTGCAGAAACACGAGAGCATCAACCATAGCTGGTGACGTGACAGACCGCTCCGCATCCGCCACCAATCCTGAGGTAGCTGGCACGAACAGCACACTCTGGTGAACTGGGGCCAAGCGCGAAGAGTTAGTCTTCCACCTCTGGAGTAGGTCATTAGGACTGGCTTGTGTTACTTGTCGCTCCTGCACAAAATAATAGGACAGCGAAGAAAAGAAGTACTGTAAAGTGAGAAACTTTCGCTGGAGATTAAATTTCGCTATTTTCGCGACCATCACACATTCGCGAATATAAAACGCCGCAAACCCCTCCGTACATTGATTGTAGACAGTACAAGATCCGACTGAAGAGATTGAATCGCCAAAGTTTCTCATCGTAAACCAGCCCAATTTATAAAAACGCTAAATTTGCGTGCCGCGAAAGTTTGTCGCTTTACAGTATTCGTGTACACGAGCAGTCCGAATTTCCGTTCGAACAACACATTTTATTGTGCGTATACAAAGTGCAAAAAAACAAAAACAAAAAGCACTGCAGAGTGGCCAAATACATGACAATGTATACATTGTACAAGAGATAAGACTGCTTCCTACCTGCAAGTAAGTTGTTACTTCAGTCGCACTGCTCTCGCTTGGAACCGCTCAACTCGGCTTCGCTGTCACCTAGCATGTCGTTCAGCAGAGAAGGACAAGGACGCTTGATTGGCCGCTTGACCTCCAGCTGGTCTATGGTGGACCCGTTGATGCTGTCATTAGCAGAGTTCACCTGGTTGCAGAGGCTCAGAAGAGCACCCTTCACCTCTGACAGAGAGGGGCGAATGATAGGTGTCGAAACCGAGGGTGTAGCACTGTAGCAATCACATCAAGACAATTTGCTGTCAATCGGTCCAGTCTGAAACGGGTCGTCGGGCTCTGGTGGCCACGCCTTCTTCAATGCCGGAACCGAGTCCCTGGCAAATTGTTGTGCCACATGACCCGCTGGCGTGCAGTTGCTTTGTAACTCAAGCGCTTTGTTCGGTTGGATTTTGAGTACCAGTCCTTGCCGTTGGTGGCCGTCGCCAGGGAAAGGGACTGGTTGAGTGGTGAACACCATGTAGTACAGTACTTACAGTACACCACACTGCACATGCACATGCACAGTATACAGTATACAGGTGATCAGTGGCGGCGGATGGAACGGGGTTGGCATAATTATGGCATCACGTGTCCTCAACTCGACCGCATGCTTGTGGTGTTCACATCAGTAGTACGGCATTTTCCAGTTATAAGTCAACCTTTTATGACCTAAAACCGAAAGATAAAGGGGGCAGCCGACTTGCAACCGGGCTTTTTAACGGTAAAATGTGGTACATGACTTTCACCTGCTTTCAGGTTATCTCTGAGTGATGTATTGCAGACATGCCAGAAAAGTAAAGTTACTTGCAAAGCAAAAACAAATTCTCGGTTCGCGTGAGACTCGGCTGGAAGCCGGGCTTTCCGCATCCGTAGGAACGCCACCACCCTTCAAGGATCAAGGCGCAGATGCAGCTCCTAAAGCGGTGGGAGGTGAGTAGATCAGCTCACCAGCAAGTGGTCAAAGACCGAAAATCCCATTTACTGCATCCATGTTTTCCTCGTGCCAGACCACGAGTTCCCAATTAACTGTGGGTCGCAGCACGGCTGGAAAAAATCCTTCCGCTTCCAAGCGGGACTTGAACCTGGTACCCTCTGTTTCTCAATCATGATCTTAGACCATCACACTATGCCTGCCTGCTACAAAGCAAGTGGACAAGGAAATGTGGTGTGCCTCTGCTTTAAGGCCGATTCACAATACAACTTTCTGCGACAGCGACACACGGTTCACAATATTCTTCATGTTTGCGACATCCTCATGCACAAGTAGTACTATGCACGTGCACTGCACGTGCACCCAGGGTCGAAACTGTACTCCATCTGTGTATGTCGCGTGTCGCATATCGCAAAAGTTGAACTTTCTTCAACTTCTGCGACAGGTGCATTGCGACAGCTCGCGACAGGCAGTTTCTTGTCGCAACTGTCGCAAATCGCGTGTCGCATGTCGCAGAAAGGGTTGTATTGTGAATGGGGCTTTAGACTTTTTAAAGTAACTTTAGTTGTATTTGCAATGATAGAGTGTCTGATAGAGTGTCTGCCTCATCTTTAACATGTGTCACAGGAATATCGTTTCGACTGTAAACCTTGGTTGCAAGCTCAACCTGAAGGAAATAGCTTTGCACGCTAGAAATGCGGAGTATAACCCAAAGGTAAGCCCGGTTGTGTTGTATGTGCGGTTTGACAGTGATGGTGTTGCTTAATCAGCAGTGCTTTGTGCCGCGTATGTCTGGTGTTCGGTGTGTGGTGTGCGGTGTGGGCTAGCAGTGCGCCTTCATGATGATCAAGTGTGCCAATCATACAATTCTTGTCTGCTGAATTGTTGCTGGGCCAACTGCTTTCCAGTTTCCCATCTACCGCCCATCAATATATCGATACATTTCTCGCTTCCCTCCTGTGTGTTTGTTGCTTATTGTGTTCGTGTTTGTATTCGATTTGTTTTGTCCGTTTTCTTTTGCTTGTTTTTGGGAACACAACCCCATGCTGTGTGATCAGTCACGTTTAGTGTTAAAAAAATCGAGGAAAATCAATACATTGTAATGATGATTGTATGATTATGTTTGTCTCCTTTGTTGCAATGCTGTGATTGTTAACAGCGATTCGCCGCCGTCATCATGAGAATCCGAGAGCCGAGAACAACTGCGCTTATATTCAGCAGCGGAAAAATGGTGTGCACCGGAGCGAAGAGGTTGGTGGTACTATCCTTGATGCTGCTGTGATGGCCGTGCACTCTGTGAGCATTGCTACATGTACTTGTGCTGCTATTGTGTAGCAGGGACCCAGACTAGATAACTAGTCTTCATGCCAAGCAGCTCAACAGCCCAATCATTCGTTATAATTTGAAAAAAGCATTATTTGTTGAATGGGGGAGGGGAGTGTGACAGAAGTCTTGTCTGTTGACTGTGTGTGCACTCTCTGTTGTCATGTTGTGTACAGTGAAGATCACTCACGTTTAGCTGCGAGGAAATACGCCAGGGTCATTCAGAAACTGGGCTTTGACGTAAGCAGTCCAAGTAATTTTTTTAATACGCATTTCACTCCACCCCTCCCTGGCCTTGTGCTAACTTTCGGGGATGAACAATAGTCCGGAAATGCATGCACTGCAGTGCTTACCACCATGATCCAGGGCATGTCGCATATCAATTGCAATGCAGCATGCAACCTGGTTTCACTGTATGGGGGGGGGGGGGGAGCAATTATTTTGGCCAGTATCTGTACAGTCATGTATTTGAGTGCAAAAAAACTGGGAGTAGAAGGTCAAGGGTTTGGAAGTGGGGGAACTCTTTTCTGGCACATACGGTGTACTTATTTACAGGTTTGCAGTATTTGCCTTAGTGCAAAGCTGGCTGCTCTATTTCATTGCAGCTAGCGCATCCTGACTGGACGCTTTCAGCTGAGCCAGTTTTCCTAAACTCATCTGGTGCTGCTTTGGGTCAAAAGCAGCTTGCAGTTTGGGGATAGTGTAAATGTGAATGTCTTATACATGTACAGTTGTGTTCGGTGAAATCCAGCCTAAAGTGTGTACCGTAAAGTACCGTTGATCCGCCCCCACGCCATGTCGCTTCCCAGCTGGGAATTGGGCAGGGGGCAGGAATTCGATCAAGGCTGTCAAGTGCAGTACGATGTACAACAACGTAGAGGATCAGACTCAATGTGCTGGATTGTGCACATTTTGATCCTGGATTGGCAAGTATTGTGTACAGCAGTGCATGCGTCGGTTCAACATCGTATTTCGTTGTATACGCCGAAGTCGCTTCACAAGGAGAAAATCGACAGGGGGCGGGAATTAGAGAGGGGGCGGATCAACGGTACTTGTCGCCCTCAACTTGCACGGCCCTTGACGCCCTGGAAGTAGTACGAATGCGGCTGGATGTACACATGTACAAGTAGGGTGTAATCGGAGCTGGTCCAGGGCGCCAGTTTTGCACTTTAGGTCGGATTTCAGTGAGCGTAAGTGTACTATAGTTTCAACAGGGTACCACAGGATTTCCAGGAAACATTTGGATTGAGTTATGTTGCATCTGTCCTATGCCTGTCCTTCTGTTTTGTACTTTTAGGCAAAGTTCATGGATTTCAAGATCCAGAATATGGTCGGTAGCTGCGACGTAAAGTTTCCAATTAAACTCGAAGGCTTGGTATTGTCCCATGGTCAGTTTTCAAGGTAAGAAAGTTGCCACTCGGTAACCTTTTTATTCTTTGCAAAAATGAAAAAAAACGTATCTTTGCAACTTTCGTTTCTTGCAATTGAAGCGCCCCGATCCACTGGATTGGGGCGTATGTTGCCAAATTGTTGACCGTCCGCCGGGACATCGTGTAGTGGTCGAGTGGATTGTGTACAGTCAGCGTCGTCAATGAGCACTGACTCGTATCATCCACTTTGCCAACTTAAACAGTAGACAAACACAAGAAAGTCCATGCTCGAGCTGTGCTTGTGAGTGTGGAGAGATTCGCTTCATGAGTGATAACCGCAATTACGCATCCAGCCATGTACATTGTACTGGCATACTGCACTGGTTGTTCCGATACAGTATGGCCTGATGGCCAATAATGATATGCAGAATCAAGGTTAGGTCCAATACCTGTGGGGCCGCCTGCAGGCTGTGCTTATGTGCCGTAGTTGCAGGAAATCCACACCGTTGTACCCGAGTCTGATTCTGTATTTCCTTGCCGATGCTATAGACAGTGCCATATTTCTCATGCCGATTTTACCTTTTCTCTACTGTATGCTACTATGAATAGCTACGAACCGGAGCTCTTTCCGGGTCTTATCTATCGAATGGTCAAGCCGCGTATCGTCCTGCTCATCTTTGTGTCGGGGAAAGTCGTCTTGACCGGTAAGTTTGATCTGCCAAAACGATGTAACTGTTGACTGCTAATCCCTTTCGCCACTCTGGACTACTGGCTTTGGCTCATCACTACTTGGTTAGCTTACTTAGCTATCTGAAGATGTACAGTGTACCAGTAGTTATTCCTTACACTATGAGCATGGGAATTTGTGTATGCGTCAGATGTACATGGACCTTTGCTGGTCCTCATTTTGATACAGATTTAAAGGGGGGGGGGCAGTATACTCCTGGCATTAATATGCCATGCTTCTCTTCGCGTAGTTGTATTCTATGCCTTGTTTCTTCGTTTTCTTCCAAACGAGCACTTGAACATAAGCATACTGCTGAACAGCATCTCTGGTGCCTGTGCCGTAACTGTGCTCAATCCTATGCGTTTCTAGGTGCAAAAGTCCGAGCTGAAATCTACCAGGCCTTCGAGAATATCTACCCTATCCTGAAGGCATTCCGGAAAACGTAGCTGCTGCCCTGTGCCGTCAGTGTCTTGCTTTGGATATATATTTTTTCAGCCTTTTATTGACGTCCGGGAACCCGTGTTTGGCAGTGGCAGTGGCAGGTTCTTTGTGTTCTATCTCGGCCACTGCGCATTGGCCTGGTTGAGAGCCACATAGTTTTCATGGTCCATACTCGTCTCGTCTTCCTAACAGCTTTTCTTTTTCTGTCTCTTTTTACTTGTTTCACCAGTAGCTAGCTGTGTGTTTTCTCACACCAGTTTGGATGTCTGCAACTGCTAGGCTTTTATAGGACAGCTGATACTTACTATTCATGCCCGTGTTTGTATCTAATCTTTAATCAAGATGTTTTGAACCGTTATCTACTGACGTATCATTTTTGTAATTGCGTGTTTTCGTCTGTTACTGTGTTCTTGTGTAGTATGCCTACAATTCACCTGGCATGTCATTGGGAGGTGCCAATTCAAAACATGTGTGTATTCATCCTCCCTCTCATTGTTGTTCATGGGTGTTGTGTTGTTCTTGTATCTAATTCTAACTCGGCCCTTCTCTCCATCTCAGTCATGCTATTCTTTCGTACTAGTGCAGTTTTTTATTATATATATATGCAGCGCAGGCGGTCTTTATTGTAGGTGTTTTGTTTCCGGCTTATTGAGTTGTCACGAAAAGCTCTTCATTCCTCCAACCTCTGTTGGCATGCATCTTGGCCACACTGATGATGGTATTGGCACTTGTAGCATGGTGTTTCTGTACCTTGTGCTGTTGTGGGGACGGACGGACGTCTTTTCATATTGCAGTCGTGGCCAAAGAAACCCGGCCCTTGAGTCAAAAGCAGCGCCACCTTTCCATTTCAATTGCATTATGCACATGTCCCAAGGGCCACCTGTGGAAGGGTCGCAGGGGCTCCATGATCATTGCGTTGGTGTTCCTTTCGGTTCCCGGGTCGGATTTCTTTGGCCACAACTGTACTCTGAGTTTGTGGCTACCATGGTACTGGCGATTGTTCAATATCGGAGTTGGACAAATACCATTGATTCCATACTGAATAATAATGGGATCACACAGGAATGGCAGTGTGGACAACACAATGCATGACCAGGAGGAGCATGCAGAAAGCATGATGTGTGACTGACAATAAAGCTGCACAGCATGCTGGCATGACTTCTTGGAACCAGAAACGAAAATTAATATCATGGGTCTAGTCTACCTACGATCAGTGGTACAGTGTCGGTACAGAAATCAGAAGAAAAGAAAACTGAAGCTTGGCCAGCAGTCTTGAAGGTACCTAAAAGCAACTGATGCATAATAATAATAATAATAATAATACAATAGTATGCCTAATCCCACGTACAGGGCTAAATAATCATTGGAATGACCTTGAAATGAAGAGTCGTTGAGTACCGTACTTGAGCTATTACAGATGAAACCAGTAAAGTAAGGTCAGATGCCAGAGACTTGTGAGATGCATTTTTTTCTAAACTAAATCATAACTCTGGCCCACAGAGAAATTTGGAACAGGCAAGGTTAACTTATAGAGATAGAGGGTCTGAAACAGGGGGGGGGGGGGGGGGGGGGAGAAGCGAGTACACTCAATTGAAACGGCTTCTCGGTGTCGGCCTAGGCAGGAATGAAGGTGGCCTGGCTTGACCAGGCATGTTGGTAGGTTTAGATATCCATACACCTGTGCTCAGCACAGTACTGCCTGAGGAAGCTGCTGATGACCCACCGGATTTTCTTCCCCTGTACGAGCCACCGCCACCACCACCACCACTGCCGCCTCGTTTTGACTTGGATTTCCAGCCACCGCGGCCCTTGCCAGCGAAAGACCGTCCTCCACGTCCTCTACCGCGACCCCTCCCACGTCCTCCGCCACCGCGTCGGTTAGATGATGCTGGCGGCACAGAAGTTGACCAATCGGCCGGTACCTCTTCCAAGAAATGGTCTGCACCTTGGTTGGTTGGCTCGGCATCGTCCCCACCATCCAGCTCATCATCAAAGTCGTTGTCTTCATCGGAGAACCAATCACCAGCAAAGTCAGATGACTGAAACTTGTTTGTTGCTGCACTGGCAGCAGATTTCTGTCCATTAGCATTGAAGTAGCGTGACTGGCCAGGTGTGTTAAGACCAGCGTTGGAATTACCACTACCACCACCACCACCACCACCACCACCGCCACGGCCACTGTTGGCCGCACTGTTGCCATCTCTCTCCGTGCGGAGCTGCTGGATAAGCTCGAGGAACTCAGTGCCGTACTTCTCCACGTGAGTGCGGGCAATCGACTCGACGCCAAGCAGCTGGGCTCGAGTGCTGGGCAGGTCCTTGGCGAGCGAGTCGAGCGCTTTGGTGCGCATGACGGTCTCCGGGTTGACCCCGTCGCGCCCGGCCAGTTCTTTCTGCAACGCGCTAAGGGCGTCGAGGCAGTGCTGCAGGAACTTACGCTTGCTCTCGTCGCCAGCAGACAGCTTCTTGGCCGTGCACACTGGAGCGCTGGACACGCGACGATGGAACTTGATCTGGTACTTGTTGGCCATGACGTCGTTGGCGCGCTTGCCCGGCTGCAGGTAAGCAATGACCGTGTCGTGCTCGGTGACTTTCATGCTCTCGGTCAGCACGCCACGCAGCACCATGTGACGGACGAGGCGCTCGCAGTCGTTGCGAGAGAACCGGCTGGCGCAATTGAAGAGTGTCGACTGGTTATGATTGTGCATGAGGACCTGTCAAGCAAACGATGAAAACAGAAACAAGGGCCAGAAGCGCAAATCACCCTACAATGCAATGCTGGACCTATCAAGCAAGATACCCTGCAATGCAATGCTGGACCTATCAAGCAAGATGAAAACAGAAACAAGTGCACAGCGGACATCGCCATACAATCCAATGGTAAAACAGAGAGGTTCCAGGCTGTCCAAGAGAGTGCTCAATACCGAGAGGCAGAGCTAGTTCAAACAATAAGAGAACTGAACAAGTGTTTTAACTCTGAGTTTCACGCACTAAGCGATCAAGCGATACTGTTTTCTGATGATCGTGTGCCCGCACAGCGGCATTTCAACACAACGGAAGTATGTCACATTGTGTGTGTTTTAACAGATCACCGTGTGTGCGCTCGCGTGCGTGTGTGTTTGTGTACATGAGTGTGTGTGTGTGCGTGCAAGTTTGTCGAAGCTGACCTTTGCATTGTTAGAACCCTTGCACACGTCCACATAGTTTCTACAATTACCGCTGCAAACTTCTGGCCCCGGCCACTTTATGCCAGGCAATGGCGTTTCAAAGAAAGCAGTGGAGCACGCCATGATAATTCTAGCCCACCTGCCAAAACTGATGACATCACCAAGTCTGACCCTCCTCCTCAGAACAATGATAGTCTCCCACCTGCCGACCCTCTCCTGAGCAATGACCAGTAAGACGTTGAAATTGCTGGTTACGAATGCCTTTGGTATCCGTTCAAAGTTTGGCGAATTTCAACATACCCTTCTGGCATCTGATGCAGATATTGCTGTAGTCACAGAAACCAAGCTGACCCTGGATAAGATGACGCAAGCCGAAGTGACTCTTCCTGGGTACTCCCCTCCAGTAAGACGAGACCGAACACCACAGGGTGGAGGCGTGGCTGTGTGGGTGAAATCCCACCTAGCTTTTCAAGAACTGGAAGCTGTTCCAACCCTTGACCAAGAAGTTGTATGGCTTTCTATCCGCATAAGACCTGGCCGCAAAGTTGTCTTGTGTGCTGCCTACCGCCCAGGATAAGAGAACTGAACAAGTGTTTTAACTCTGAGTTTCACGCACTAAGCGATCAAGCGATACTGTTTTCTGATGATCGTGTGCCCGCACAGCGGCATTTCAACACAACGGAAGTATGTCACATTGTGTGTGTTTTAACAGATCACCGTGTGTGCGCTCGCGTGCGTGTGTGTTTGTGTACATGAGTGTGTGTGTGTGCGTGCAAGTTTGTCGAAGCTGACCTTTGCATTGTTAGAACCCTTGCACACGTCCACATAGTGCGTCAGCGTGAACTTGTCGCGTGACGAAACCGTCTGCCTGGCGAAAAGCACAAAGAGCCGTGCAATCTCGGTCACATCCTCCTCCTGCATGGTTCCCTGGTCGCGGCAGTTGTCGCAGGTCGCCTTGCACTGGCTCTTGTGGAACGCGGACTCTCCCAGGTAATTGAGCAGCTGCGCTCGCCGGCAGTCGGACTTATTCTCAGAGTACTGAACCATGCGGAACAGGTTGTCAAAGTGCTGCTGCGCCGAGCTGACTGTGGCTGACTCTTCCTTGTTGATCATGCGCTGTCAGGTTAGAATAAAAATGCAACACACACACACACACACACACACACACACACACACACACACACAAATTAAATGCAATACATGTCCAATGTAATTGCCAAAATAAGGCAATGTAATACAGGTATGGATTATACCAAGAGCACATAACCCCCAAGAGTGTGCAACTCCAGCTATAGGGTCTGCGACGGCAGAACTTCACATCACGTGACGAACCCGTACACATTATTTGCATCCCATGCGTGATAGATACAGGGTTGTAAACAACCCTGCTTTAGGTACAACTATCTTGTGATCATTTTGCACTGTTTGCCAGCGTAACCATTCGAACCATGTCACTTTGATGTGAAGTTCTGCCGTCGCAGCAATGTATAGAGGTTGTGCAGGCAGTTGCACCCTCTTGGCTTGGGCGGGGGGAGTTGGGGGTTATGTAGTCTTGATTATACCAATGCCAATGTTCTAGAACACTAGATTGTCGCAGCACTAGTCGACCTACCTTAATGCGATGGCTGTCGGCGTACGTGTAAAACATGATGCAGTCTGCCTGCTTGCCATCACGACCAGCTCTGCCAGACTCCTGGTAGTAGCCTTCCACGGACTTTGGCATGGAGTGATGGATGACAAAGCGCACGTTTGGCTTGTCTATACCCATGCCAAATGCAATGGTGGCACACACCACCTGATGAAGAACCACACCAAGAACAACAACAACAACAAAACACAAAGACAAGACAGTGCACGGCCAGACCGTGTAAGCATGGTGTGAAACAAGGTCCAAGTGCCACAACAAATTGCCGGGTCAATAAACTAACACTCATACAAACACCGAAAGTATTAGGAACCCTAATAGAGCACTACAGCCAAAGCACAGTAGAAGCATATCATTACCGTCAAGAGTACATGACACCCAGAGTGTGCAGCTCTGATGAGTTGCTGTCAGGACGAAGTTCCGTACAAACAGGATTCAAGCAGGTCTCTTTCTGCACAACTGCAGCTCAGTTGTACGCACTACGCCCCTTCCCCCCTTCCCGCCTCAGATCTGCACCAAATACGATCTGATCATGGAATTTCGCCGTGACAGACATCCATAGTATAAAAAGCCCCAAGCTGGACACTCTGGGTTTCATGTACTCTTGTTACAATGCATGCCATGTACATTGGTTGTCAAAGTACAGTTGAACCTCACCGATCCCAACACATTTCGTCAGTGGTTCTAGATTTACGTGTCTGGCTAGTCACTATACAAATTGATTAGCCAGGCACATATTTCGTGTGGATAATCCAAACTGTACATTAGGGAGTTTCGCTCCACGTAATGGGACTACACGTAATTTCCGTACGTAAAAATCTGCGCCAGGGTTTCGTTACACGTAATTTTTCGACGAGTACAAGCACTCGGTATTAGAGTCGCTAAGCATTCCTTGTTGTGTGGGAGAGGAGTCAGCTACATACGCACACGCTTACAAGAGTGTACAACCACACCTTCGAGCAATGTTTGAAGGCTTTTCATAAGCTGCTGAGTGTGTACTTCGCACTATTCGTACAGTTCCAGCAGCAACATTGGCCCTCTGGTGAGGACGATTTTGCCAGACAGTGAAATTACGGGAAATGTGGTAAGTGCGACTATCTGTGCGCACGGCCTGAGTACATACTTCCAAGACCCGCTGCAGAAGCAAGTTAACAAGGCAGAGTCAGCCGTGCTTCTACCGATATTTGATGAGAACCACAATTTCAAGACAAAAACCAAGCACATGGACTGTGTCTGGAGTTCCGGTCCGGATGGTGGTTCTGTAGCAACTCACTAACGTTACCTCAAGTTGGCGTGCCTGGGTCACTCGACAGCCAATGATCTGCTGCACCATTTCCATGCCGCAACTTATCAACTCAACCTAAGCAAAATGGTTCAGGTGTCAATGGATGGCCCAGCGGTGAATTGGAAAATTCACCGATCGTGAAGGAAGAGCTCCAGCGCACGAACAACAAATCCCCTCTTGACATGGGCAGCTGTGGCCTACACATCTTGCACAGGGCTTTCCAGGATGGAGCAAGAAAGTCTGGGCGGGGCGTAACTGAGATGTTGAAGGCCCTGTACTATTGTTTCAGGGACAGCCCCGCAAGACGAGAAGACATCACAAGAGTTACAGAGTCCAGTGTCTTCTCCATGAAATTCTGCCAGCACCGATGGGTAGAAAATCTGCCTGTTGTAGAGAGAGCTGTGAGCACGTGGAGCAGCATCATCGTTTTCGTTGCCCGTGTAACCGACAAAAACCCTGAAGGTTCCAGCTTGTGACTCGTACGATGTGATTCGCAAATGGCCCAAACATCCGGCTGTTCTCGTCAAGCTGAAGTGCTTTGCTTCGCTTGCAAGAAAGGTACAGCCATTCGGGTAAGGAAGAGTGCATGAAAAACAGTCATGAAGTGTGTTTGTGCTGCGTTCAATGGTGCTGGAACAGTCGAAGACGTCACATGCGAAGACATCTTAACGGAGTACAGCGACTTCCTCTCCTCCGTCATCCCTACAAAGAAGTCAGCACATGCTGTGCATTTTTTTGGCTGTGCAGTTGTTTGCTGCGAGGGTATTTGCTGTGATGTGTGCAACTGGTCATTTGAAAATCTCCTTGAAAAGTCCTCAATCTTGGTTTTATGTGTCCAAAATATACTTGAATTTCTAAAGTATGCCGGTGTGCGGACCCTGCTGAACTACGTTCTCCATTTGTTTCCACGTGGCATGGACGTTGTGTTCTGCGCAACGTTGCCATCGATAAATCCGGAAAAGAAAAAATTCAAAGCGCTACAGGAGGAGGGAACGTAGGAAAGTGCTTTCCTACGGAAACCCGTCGAGAGATTTACCTATGATAGTTGTCCTTGCTCCCCGGCGAGTACGATATACGGATTTTCATACGTAATTACTGGCAAGTAGAGCGAAACCACCCTATTATTGGCATCATGCACATGATTGTATACTGCATCCAACCATCCAATCCACAGCCCCCGGGAATGTAAATGCGGATAGTCCAGGCTATCAAGGTTCCAGCTGACCGGGGTGTGGAAAAGTGAGGTCCAACTGTACCTTGCATCGCCTCTCCAGTAGCCAGTTGTTCTGAACCTCGACACGCTTGGCATCGCTGAGTCCGGCGTGGTACGGCACGGCAGCGATGTTTTCGTTCCTCAGCACCTCGGCCACCACTTCACACTCTCGCCTGCACACAATGAGCAAATAGCAGGCCACGGCAAACGATGCACAGTAGTTAGCATTACATGCGCCGCTACTAGTAGGCCAATACTGGGTAGTAGTGTAAAACGTCTTCCAGATACGCACCAACTAGTGCCGTGCTGTCACCAGCGTAAGTACCCACGGCCGAACGATAATTTCTGCACAACGTGTTTGTACAATAGTCTACCAAGCGGCGGTCAAGACAATCATGCTGAACACCACACCCTCCATCTCGCTGCAAACAGTTCTGATAACCACTACATTTGTATTACGGTTGTAGAATGTCCTGTAAAAGGTATGCATGGCAGAAGAGGACAACAGCTACAGAGAACGCACAAGCAAACAACAACAGCGACGGCGACGACAACAAGAAAAACGAGAACACCAATGACAGCTCGCTCATTGCAGTCGAACCGATAGGTTGTACGCAGACACGGCCGTGAGCATAAGACAGCTTGAGTCCTAGTAAACGCATGCATGACAGCAGATCATTTATACTGTGAACACACCTGACAAGGCGATACTTAGTGCACACCTGACTAGGGAATACTGTACTGTGTACACACCTGGCTAGGGAATACCGTGTACACACCTGGCTAGGAAATACCGTGTACATACCTGGCTAGGAAATACCGTGTACACACCTGGCTAGGAAATACCGTGTACATACCTGGCTAGGGAATACCGTGTACACACCTGGCTAGGAAATACCGTGTACACACCTGGCTAGGAAATACCGTGTACACACCTGGCTAGGAAATACCGTGTACACACCTGGCTAGGAAATACCGTGTACACACCTGGCTAGGAAATACCGTGTACACACCTGGCTAGGAAATACCGTGTACATACCTGGCTAGGAAATACCGTGTACACACCCGGCTAGGAAATACCGTGTACACACCTGGCTAGGGAATACCGTGTACACACCTGGCTAGGAAATACCGTGTACACACCTGGCTAGGAAATACCGTGTACACACCTGGCTAGGAAATACCGTGTACACACCTGGCTAGGAAATACCGTGTACACACCTGGCTAGGAAATACCGTGTACACACCTGGCTAGGAAATACCGTGTACACACCTGGCTAGGAAATACCGTGTACACACCTGGCTAGGAAATACCGTGTACACACCTGGCTAGGAAATACCGTGTACACACCTGGCTAGGAAATACCGTGTACACACCTGGCTAGGAAATACCGTGTACACACCTGGCTAGGAAATACCGTGTACACACCTGGCTAGGGAATACCGTGTACACACCTGGCTAGGAAATACCGTGTACACACCTGGCTAGGGAATACCGTGTACACACCTGGCTAGGAAATACCGTGTACACACCTGGCTAGGAAATACCGTGTACACACCTGGCTAGGAAATACCGTGTACACACCTGGCTAGGAAATACCGTGTACATACCTGGCTAGGAAATACCGTGTACACACCCGGCTAGGAAATACCGTGTACACACCTGGCTAGGGAATACCGTGTACACACCTGGCTAGGAAATACCGTGTACACACCTGGCTAGGAAATACCGTGTACACACCTGGCTAGGAAATACCGTGTACACACCTGGCTAGGAAATACCGTGTACACACCTGGCTAGGAAATACCGTGTACACACCCGGCTAGGAAATACCGTGTACACACCTGGCTAGGGAATACCGTGTACACACCTGGCTAGGAAATACCGTGTACACACCTGGCTAGGAAATACCGTGTACACACCTGGCTAGGAAATACCGTGTACACACCTGGCTAGGAAATACCGTGTACACACCTGGCTAGGAAATACCGTGTACACACCTGGCTAGGAAATACCGTGTACACACCTGGCTAGGAAATACCGTGTACACACCTGGCTAGGAAATACCGTGTACACACCTGGCTAGGAAATACCGTGTACACACCTGGCTAGGAAATACCGTGTACACACCTGGCTAGGAAATACCGTGTACACACCTGGCTAGGAAATACCGTGTACACACCTGGCTAGGAAATACCGTGTACACACCTGGCTAGGGAATACCGTGTACACACCTGGCTAGGAAATACCGTGTACACACCTGGCTAGGAAATACCGTGTACACACCTGGCTAGGAAATACCGTGTACACACCTGGCTAGGAAATACCGTGTACACACCTGGCTAGGAAATACCGTGTACACACCTGGCTAGGAAATACCGTGTACACACCTGGCTAGGAAATACCGTGTACACACCTGGCTAGGAAATACCGTGTACACACCTGGCTAGGAAATACCGTGTACACACCTGGCTAGGAAATACCGTGTACACACCTGGCTAGGAAATACCGTGTACACACCTGGCTAGGAAATACCGTGTACACACCTGGCTAGGAAATACCGTGTACACACCTGGCTAGGAAATACCGTGTACACACCTGGCTAGGAAATACCGTGTACACACCTGGCTAGGAAATACCGTGTACACACCTGGCTAGGGAATACCGTGTACACACCTGGCTAGGAAATACCGTGTACACACCTGGCTAGGAAATACCGTGTACACACCTGGCTAGGAAATACCGTGTACACACCTGGCTAGGAAATACCGTGTACACACCTGGCTAGGAAATACCGTGTACACACCTGGCTAGGAAATACCGTGTACACACCTGGCTAGGAAATACCGTGTACACACCTGGCTAGGAAATACCGTGTACACACCTGGCTAGGAAATACCGTGTACACACCTGGCTAGGAAATACCGTGTACACACCTGGCTAAGGCAACACACTGTACTGTACTGTGTACACCTTGGCTAGGCAACACTACATGTATGTACACACCTGCCATGGCAACACTACATGTATGTACACACCTGCCATGGCAACACTACATGTATGTACACACCTGCCATGGCAACACTACATGTATGTACACACCTGCCATGGCAACACTACATGTATGTACACACCTGCCATGGCAACACTACATGTATGTACACACCTGCCATGGCAACACTACATGTATGTACACACCTGCCATGGCAACACTACATGTATGTACACACCTGCCATGGCAACACTACATGTATGTACACACCTGCCATGGCAACACTACATGTATGTACACACCTGCCATGGCAACACTACATGTATGTACACACCTGCCATGGCAACACTACATGTATGTACACACCTGCCATGGCAACACTACATGTATGTACACACCTGCCATGGCAACACTACATGTATGTACACACCTGCCATGGCAACACTACATGTATGTACACACCTGCCATGGCAACACTACATGTATGTACACACCTGCCATGGCAACACTACATGTATGTACACACCTGCCATGGCAACACTACATGTATGTACACACCTGCCATGGCAACACTACATGTATGTACACACCTGCCATGGCAACACTACATGTATGTACACACCTGCCATGGCAACACTACATGTATGTACACACCTGCCATGGCAACACTACATGTATGTACACACCTGCCATGGCAACACTACATGTATGTACACACCTGCCATGGCAACACTACATGTATGTACACACCTGCCATGGCAACACTACATGTATGTACACACCTGCCATGGCAACACTACATGTATGTACACACCTGCCATGGCAACACTACATGTATGTACACACCTGCCATGGCAACACTACATGTATGTACACACCTGCCATGGCAACACTACATGTATGTACACACCTGCCATGGCAACACTACATGTATGTACACACCTGCCATGGCAACACTACATGTATGTACACACCTGCCATGGCAACACTACATGTATGTACACACCTGCCATGGCAACACTACATGTATGTACACACCTGCCATGGCAACACTACATGTATGTACACACCTGCCATGGCAACACTACATGTATGTACACACCTGCCATGGCAACACTACATGTATGTACACACCTGCCATGGCAACACTACATGTATGTACACACCTGCCATGGCAACACTACATGTATGTACACACCTGCCATGGCAACACTACATGTATGTACACACCTGCCATGGCAACACTACATGTATGTACACACCTGCCATGGCAACACTACATGTATGTACACACCTGCCATGGCAACACTACATGTATGTACACACCTGCCATGGCAACACTACATGTATGTACACACCTGCCATGGCAACACTACATGTATGTACACACCTGCCATGGCAACACTACATGTATGTACACACCTGCCATGGCAACACTACATGTATGTACACACCTGCCATGGCAACACTACATGTATGTACACACCTGCCATGGCAACACTACATGTATGTACACACCTGCCATGGCAACACTACATGTATGTACACACCTGCCATGGCAACACTACATGTATGTACACACCTGCCATGGCAACACTACATGTATGTACACACCTGCCATGGCAACACTACATGTATGTACACACCTGCCATGGCAACACTACATGTATGTACACACCTGCCATGGCAACACTACATGTATGTACACACCTGCCATGGCAACACTACATGTATGTACACACCTGCCATGGCAACACTACATGTATGTACACACCTGCCATGGCAACACTACATGTATGTACACACCTGCCATGGCAACACTACATGTATGTACACACCTGCCATGGCAACACTACATGTATGTACACACCTGCCATGGCAACACTACATGTATGTACACACCTGCCATGGCAACACTACATGTATGTACACACCTGCCATGGCAACACTACATGTATGTACACACCTGCCATGGCAACACTACATGTATGTACACACCTGCCATGGCAACACTACATGTATGTACACACCTGCCATGGCAACACTACATGTATGTACACACCTGCCATGGCAACACTACATGTATGTACACACCTGCCATGGCAACACTACATGTATGTACACACCTGCCATGGCAACACTACATGTATGTACACACCTGCCATGGCAACACTACATGTATGTACACACCTGCCATGGCAACACTACATGTATGTACACACCTGCCATGGCAACACTACATGTATGTACACACCTGCCATGGCAACACTACATGTATGTACACACCTGCCATGGCAACACTACATGTATGTACACACCTGCCATGGCAACACTACATGTATGTACACACCTGCCATGGCAATACTACATGTATGTACACACCTGACATGGCAGTATATTGTGTACACAGTGACTACACACCTGGCTAGGCAATACACAATGCCGCACTGGCCAGCATACTCCTTCTTGATCAATTCAGCAATATCCTGGTTGACACGACGGGCCTTCTTCTGGTGCACAAAGTAGTGCAGATTGGGACGATTGAATGAGGTGGAAAAGCTGCAGATACACATGCAGCAGCAAGCCAGTAGTAAACACATTGATATCGGTACCTTGATCACAATACGGCGCAGGCCCGGCAAAGTGAATGCCATCGAAAGTAGCATTCGATCTTTTGACTCTCCTTCCCAATTGGAAGTGGGCATACGGCTCAACATCACATACACGTGCTATCGTACAGGCAGCAGCTCGGTAGAGAAGAACTAGTGCCCTCGTTCAGAAAATACAGAAGATCAGATATGATGACAGATTGGCATTCGGAACGACCGTGATCGAAAGCAGAGAGCAAGCAGCAACATCAGTAGCAACAACAACATCAGCAGCAACAACATCAGCAACAACATCAGCAGCAACGTTGACTTACACGCAAGCATCAGGCATGCTCATGATGTGCAGTATGTCCTGGCGCACACGATGCGTTGCAGTAGCGGTGACGGCCATGATAGGTACATCGGCGTATTGACGTCGCAGCCCGCCTAAGCGCTTGTAGTCTGGCCGAAAGTCGTGGCCCCACTATCAAGCAGAGAAAAAGGGAAATCACACAACACACACATATGAGACAGAGCATTAACATCAGTGGAACAAAACTCACTGGCGTGATTTTACTCGATTGCTGATCAGTACCAATAAACCTACCGACGAGAACAAAGAGGGACACGCTGTTTTTAGAGACCGATCATCCAATGATATGCAAAGAACAGACGTGTTCAATGTACATAACCTGCTGTGAAAATGAATTGAAAACGCGCTCCTCACACACTCATCACACCAGCGTGCGCACGCTACGTTAGAAACGGTGCATCTTACCTGACTGACACAATGGGCCTCATCAACAACAAATCGGTTGAGGCGCTTGTGCGTATACAGGTAGCGGAGAGCATCCTTCAGCTTCTGACTGGCTTCCAGCTGATGAATAGAGAGAACACACATGCAGCCATATCAGCAAAGCAAGCAAACAGACTACTTCAAAGCCAAAATCCTAGTACCCAAACATAGATATCTTTTCAACATCACCCAGCAGAAGGAATCATGTTAAGACGACCTGGGTCGGTGGCGAGCAAAGCAAGTAAGTACTCGTATAGTTGGCATATCCCATTGCATTACTACCGGCTCTCTAATTGTGTTTAGAACACACAACAGGTTTAGGAAATAGGAATGTTCACTTGTGCCAGGCCACCACGATGCACAATATACCAGGGTGGCGGATGTAGCGCCCAGCGGCGAGGGTGAGAGGGTAAGGCTCACAAGCAAGTGCCGCGAAACCTCGCTAGCGGCGTCCGTGTCACCCTCACTCCGAGCAATGAGTAGTACCCAGTAGTACCCAGTTGAGCGTGGGGTGTGGGCAAGTACAGTGCTGTACATGTACATTGTGCTCATAGTACTCACTACACATCATGTGCACGCACCTTTTCTGGTGTGACGTACAGCAACTGTATGTTGGGAGGCCGCATGAACAAACAGTCGTAGATTGACGAAATCTGATCAATGCTCATGTCACCAGATAGGTGGGCAGCGCCAATCTAGGCAGTACAGGAGGAAAGTCAGAAAATACAATAAGACTGCAATCATCTATCCTCTCCAGACTTCCTCGCCATCAGTGAGCGCACGCAGCAGTATGGCCTCATTTTCAAATACAGAATCAACAAAAAAATCTGGAGGTTGCGGGATTTGAACCCGCGGCCTCTCACATGCGAAGCGAGCGCTCTACCACTGAGCTAAACCCCCTACACAGAAAACCAAGTGGGCATGTCAAGCTTATAAGGGCTTCACACCGCGGGGAAAGTCTCATTTTCGGCATAGTTACCAGGGAGATCATAGTTTCTCGAGATAAGGCTGGTACTTGACCGGAACCGTGGTCATGGCCCAAAGCTCTGGTTTCGGCTACTGTCTGGTTTCGCGGACAAGAGTATGTTTATTTTGGCGGGAACTGTGGACAGTTTTGATTTCCCAGCAAGAAACTAGAAAGGTTTTTGGCTGTGGCAGTTTCTGTTTGTTCTCTTGCCGGTAGTCATTGCAGCTTCTGTTTGTTCTTTCTTTCTTTGGAGCCTTGTGATAATGCCACTGCGTGCTTTTTCAGCCTCATCTGAAACCATGCTACTGGAGATTTGGTCCAAGCTGTTGTCGAGCTCCTACAAAATGAAGTCGAGCGAACAAGGAACAAGTGGCAACAGAACTCCTGAACAAGAGGTTGGAGGAGGCTGGTAGTGAGAAGCGGATGAGTGCGGTGGAGGTCTCCAACAAGATTGAACGCTGAAAAAGAAAGCCCGAGAGGCGTACAAGGTGTGCAAGTGGCGCACTGCAACGGGGAACTTCTTCGGACAAGGGACATTTCCATCTGGCCAGCGCCACTGGGGCCTGGCTTAACTTCGAAAACTTATCCCGATGTACCACTTATTTTTTTTACCATCGCCAGTGGGGACCAGGGGAAATGCGTGGATAGTCTCCAGACGTGTATCAGCCCACCTGCTGCCGGTAGTGACAGTACCACTGCAGTACCACTGCCAGCGCTGATTGCCCACCCGGTTATCCCTCCTCCTCGGCCTCCCCTGATGGTGGAAAGTTTTTTCGAATTGTCGTGACTGTTGCCATGTACATGTTCAGAATAACATCTTTCTCGCACGGCGAAGCAGAGTATTAATTAGGCTTCCGATTAACATTACTAAATCAGCACAGCACCTGATGGCTTGCTCGATGGCCATTTTGCTCAGCCAAGTCTAGAATTTCCAGGAAGCAGCAGGTCGAAGGCTAGTACATCTGTAGGCAAATGCAGAGTTTTACGTAGAGGATTTCTAGCGGAGTGTTTTAACGGAGGCTAATAATTTGTAACGAGAGAGCTTGGAAGCTCAGGGCCCTACGCTATGCTTTTAGGCTTTTTTGCCTAGCTCATCGTACATGTTATAAGAACTGATGGAAATGTCTTTTTCCGTTGATTGGCCACATCACTGTATTGCAAAAACGTTTCAATCGGTTTGAATATTATGAGTTAGGCAAAAGTATTTGCAGAATTTATTGCGGATTGCTGTTTCTCTAATAATCATCTACTTTTGTTTTGCTCCTTCTTTAATTTTTATCTCCTTATATTGGAAATCAACAAATTTTGGCCGATGAGAAATAGAAACCTCTCGATTAGAGAGGTTAAAAATGCACTTTATTCCCGTAGCTATGCAGAAGACGTTACTTCAGAAACGAAACTTTTCGCCGTCATTAAACTTTGGCCGATTGGATTTTTCAAAAAGAAATCGATCGGTACTTTTGCTCTCACATGCATCCATTGCTCAATCATGCATCATTTGCCTCTGTGACAAAACTTTCTCCTGCGATTTACTTTGGCCGGTTGGTACCAAGCGGCGAAATCAGCGAAATAAAATCGCCAGCGAAAATTAGTTGATTTTAATACAGTTATCGGATTTTCTGGCCTTTTTGTAGTAATACATGTACATTGACCTGTTGAGCCAATGACGACGCCGAATGCATGGTTGCCTGTGGAGCACATTACATAACTTTACAGTCTCCTAAAATACGTATCCTGTCCGACGGCAAAAGAGGCTGCAGATTTAGTTTTTCTGCGCGTCGACCGGATGTCTGTCCTGACGTTTCCTGGGACCGGCGCTGACTCTGCCGATCACGGGCATTCTGGACTCAACGGGTTGTCTGTCCTGACGATTCCGGGGACCGGCTTAGACTCTGCCGATCACGGGCGTTCTGGACTCGACGGGATGTCTGTCCTGACGTTGCCTGGGACCGGCGCGGACTCTGCCGATCACGGGCGTTCTGGAGTCGACGGGATCTCTCTTCCGACGTTTCCTGTGACCGGCGCTGAATCGCTCGTTCACGCTTATTTTGGAGACGACGGGATCTCTCTTCAAAAGTATGTTTATGCTGACGCATCCTATCACCTATTCGGCGTCTATTCTAATTTAATTTCCTCCTCGTCTCCCTATTTCTTTCCAAATCTCCCTCTACATCAGGAAGTCGTACACATAATACGACGAATATTGGTACGGTACGGGACAGATACAGGAGCCGGTACATATTGTGGACAGCTATTATGTACAATCCTGTAGAGCCTTTGTAGTCACAGATACGGGACAGATACGGGACAGATACGGGATAGCTCCAGGCGTGACACAAACAAACAAACACACAAACAAACACCAAATTAAAGCTGTGTGGACCCTGGCTAGCGCCAGACGTTACTGAAGTAACGTCTTCTGCATAGCTACGGGAATAAACACAACATTTGAAGAGCAGACATACCCCCATGCCTCTCAGACGCTCCACCTGGTCATGGATGAGAGAGCGGAGCGGTGAGATGACAATGGTGACCTTCTGCTCGAGCAGTGCAGGTAGCTGATAGCACAAGCTCTTGCCGGCACCAGTAGGCATCAGCACAAAGCAGTCGTTTCCCAGTGCCGCAGCATTGACGGTCTCCAGCTGCTGTGGACGGAACTCTTTCAAGCCAAATGTCTAGCAAAAATACACAGGCAAATGGAGAGGTACACATTGTGTTACAGCCACGGTTCAAGGTACTGTCATCAACGCCGTAATGAAGGTTGATATAACAAAAGAAGGACTACGTGTACATGTATGTACACATAACTCACCGATACAGTTCTACCCACGGCTATCCATAGTATCCGAACAAGTCGCGTGTTGCAAGCTGTTTTGAAAGTGGGTTCCGGTAATCCGAATCGCCCTTACGTCGACATAGTGATGCCCACATAGGGCTTGAAAGTGATGAAGTCAGGTGTCAAAATCTAACGACAAATAACGACTTTTAAATCCATTCTACCCGTAGCGAATTCGTACAGGCTGTGGTGGGTGGGGCCCTCGTGTCGCACCCAGGTGCGATTTTTCTGTACTAGGAGTGGGTCCCTGACCGGGAGGGCCCAGATCAGTCACTACTGGTGGACGTGTCACTATGCTGTGATGGAAAACCATCCAAACGTGTATGGATCCATACAAAAACTGGATCCAAGTTGATCCAAAATTCAGCGTTGTCATGACTCCGGGCTGGCTGTGACGTGGCACTTTCAAGCCCTATTGTCTCTAGTTCAATGTGTACTCGTACTGCTAGCAAGTGCAGCAAGTGTATGTACCATGGAAACACATCATAGTATCATACTGTAGAACAACTAAGCTTCCGTTATCTGAATTATTCACTTATCCAAACGAGGTGTTTGGACACCCAACAAGCGACTGACTGTATGCATATTCAAGTGTTCTTGCTGCTCAGAGTTACATAGAGGGACACAAGCACCAAACGGCTTACCCCATCAAAGATGTTCCACAAGCGGTTAGAGTGCGGGAATTGGACTGACGAAAAGCGACTGGTGTCGGTAGCAACAATCTGCGTCATGGGCTGTGTGCTGCTGAGACCGGCACCATTTCCACTGGACGCTTGACGATGAGTGCCAGCGAGCGGGGGAACATTGGCACGAACAGGAGGCTTGAATTGTTTGCACAGACCAGTGGACGCGGCTGATGAGGAAGTGCCTTGCGGCGTACCGGCAGCACTGCTAAATCCTTCATCCGGTGCTGTCGCTGCTGCTGCTGATGATGATGCAAGATGACCTGGGGATGAGAATGATCCGGCAGGTGTGGAACTGCTTCGAACGACAGGTGACACTGCAGCTGTTGGTGGTTGCTTGTTGATGACGTAAGAGCTCAGGGTTGTTTGCTGCCTGGGTCCTCCCACAGACAAGGTTCGACGATTTTCAGCGACACTAGACGAAAATGACGACGAGGCCAGGGATGATAGTGCTGGAGAAGACGAACAAGATGTGGAGCGAGGTGTTGCTGCAGCAGCCACTGTGCTTGAGTTTGGTGTTGTCATTGGCTTCGTGGAGGCAGGTCTGGGTGGCTGGAATCTGAAGCGAGGAGTACCGCCACCGGCTTTGTCAGCCAATTGGCCATTGTTGCTGTGAAACGTTGGTGCATCATCAGCATGGCTAGTGATTTCATCATTCTCGTGCTCAAGAATGTGCTCAGCCAAGAGTTGATCATCCAGGGGACAAGTCATCCCTGCGTCGGGGTCAGCAGCCGCACCTGTTCTGCCAAAATCAGCCACATGGTGTTGCTGTCTGGTCCCCCGCCGAGGCGTAGAGCTGATGGTTTGCATCTTGCCACTGTCATCGTTCCTGTTACTCAAGCGATCCGCACTCGATGCAATAGCGCTGTCCTGCTGTTGGCAATGCGCACTGCTATACGGATTCGCACCATTCCTGTGAGCACTTCTATCTGTGGCAGACTTGGACAAGTCAGGACTCCTGGAATTACCTGCAAATGGAGACGACAATTGATGGCTAGGACGGGGTGTTGGTGATACTTGTGGAGCAGCCAAGCGAAATGATCCCGTTGACTCATCTGTTCCACGTGGCAATATTGAGCTGGAGTTCGGAGAAGCCGGGGGCTGTACAGAAGGGTCTACGTCGTCAAAATTACCGTCGGTTTCCAGTGCTGCTGCCAAGTGCTCCTTGGTTACCTCTGCCCTTCGGCAGAATCCTTTCCTAAAAGAGGAAAACATGGGAACACAACAACACAACAGCTCACAAAGATATCTACACGGACACATGTACAACAACAAGCCAGAAATTATTAAACTACTAGTACTTCAAAGTACAGTATACTATGCACCTACTACTGCAGTACTTAAGTTAAAGCACAAGGCTAGATGAACTAGGTGACATTATGCGAAAAACCTAGACAACTACTAGTACTGCAAGTCACTGTGTGGACAGATACTTATATTCTCCAGGCTTAGCAAAAGTTTTTTTTTGACGTCCCTGAAAGAAATATCGTTCATTATGCACTCGGACCTCCCCCCCCCCCCCCCCCCGAAATGAACGCAGCTGAACGACGCAAATGATAATCCCATGAGTGTGCGTGTACAACCTTAATGAACGATGTTTGTTTCAGGGACAAAAACACTTTACTACAACCCCTAGGTGGGAAGTGCAATGGTGCTCAGTGTCAGCATCGTGAAAACCAGTATTATCGACTACCAGTGCATCAGTACCTTCATTCTGCTGCAATGATAGTCCGAAAACAATCCAACACACTCTGTGAAGCGTCTCACCTCAAGCTCAACAGCTTCATGATTTTCTGGGCACCGTCACCGAAGACCTGCTGTAGAGACGGCGGGCCTGCAGTCTCTAACTGCTGGCAAATCTCAGTCATGATGCTGGCGTGCATCAGTAACAGATTCTGAAGGTGTTCCACGGCTTCACCACCGCTCCACTGCAAGTGCGTGTACACGCATGCACACATATGTACAAACACATTTTGTATTTTTGTTTTTTGTATACGCCCGTCGCAAGAGAAGTACGCAAATCTGCAAATGCACTAGATGTGCACCCACAGATTTTCTCTTATAGCAACGATAGCGAACAAGATCTGAATGAGACAGATCAAGACTTGCGCCAGATAACTGTCTAATCCACACAACTGGCGAAGCCATGTGAATCGACCACCAATGCACACCTGGTCTACACCACACGGAGTACATCGGCATAATACAGCCAAGACAGTTACCTATGCACACCCTGCACTTGCTGGGGTAACCAGTATAGACAGCACGCTGCTTTGATAGAAGCAGACACTAGATGCACTGGTACCTTGAAGTGAAATTGGAGTTACTTTACCAACCAGCCTCGGCTAGTGAGTACTGGGAACCCAGAGCCAACAGACATACCAACAACCTCAGCCATGAAAGCTATTATAGTAACGACACACTGGATTGTGGAGCCGAAACTAGTCCAACTTCCAAATGCTTTGACAAGAAGGTAGCCTTCCGACAGGTTAGTTCAACACAACCACAACGCACCCACACAACCACACACACACACACACACACCCACACAGATGGAACGCACGTATACACACACGCAGGCATGGTCGGGTGACGGAGAAACATGAGCGCCCAGCCAGGTGACCTCAACACAGTTGGAACACAGACATGCATGCAGTGAGGAACACATCTGCTTTGTGTGCAGTACCAATCTGTACACTCGTCACACTCTACAGCCCCTTCAGTGCAGTGTTCAGCATGAGCAAAAGTGTGCAGTAAGCTGAAACGCTCAAGAGAAAGTACGCATTACATATGATGGGGCTCATCTTCAGGCACTCACGTCGGATTGAACGGCTGTAGCTAACAGTCCACGGACTTCCTGGGAGTCGGTGCTTAGAGGCTCTTCTATCGGATAAGTCATGAGAAAGTCACACCACTGAGGATTCATGGCTTCATTCCCGGTTTCCTTGCTGTACTCAGCATCATACCTGGCCAGTGGCAGAGAGGAATAAAATCAATGGCAGCTCACAGTTTCAACTTTGTAAATAAGATTACAACAGGACGGGTTTCTTCAAACATTTTCTCGTTTTTAGCCCTGTTGTAGTCCATATTCCATTTCTGTCAGACTACACATACTGTACTTCGAGTCGTGTAATACCCACACAGGTGTATTGCCCCCCCCCCCCCCCCCCCCTACTTGCAGGCAGCCATTACATCGTACTTGTTTGCACTGAAATGCATATTCCAGGTACAAGGCAGAGGGTGGATTTCTGGCTGATTTTTCAGAAATAAAAGGGTGACTCACAGCCTGGAAAATACTGCAGAGTCAGTTTGCAGAGCCTGACGAGGGGGATTTCACACCGCCACTGGTCAGGTGAAGCCAGAGTGCTACAAGTACAGTACACAGGCCACTGGTAACAGGGAGAGGAATACGCATGGGCATCAGTACTGTACACACATGGCTGAGGCTCAGTGGCTGGGAATACCCACATGGGTATCAGTAGTGGGCACACTGGCACATGGCTCTGGCTGGGGGTCAATACCCACATGGGTATCAGTAGTGGGCACACTGGCACATGGCTCTGGCTTGGAATACCCACATGTGTATCAGTAGTGGACACACTGGCACATGGCTCTGGCTGGGAACACCCACATGGGTATCAGTAGTGGACACACTGACACATGGCCCTGGCTGGGAACACCTGCATGGACATCAGTAGTGGACACACGTGGCTCTAGCTGGGAATATACGCACGGGGAGGGCCAGGATCCAATCAAATACACTGGGCACGCTGCACAGTGTCACATACCATTCATCGTCAGGAAATTCCTCATCAACGTCAATAATCCCGTGTTCATTGTGTCCGTTGTCCTTCTCCTCGCCGGGCGCCAGCTCAACCTGCATCTCGTTGTTCGGCTGCTGCTCCTGTCCAGCAGCACATGCAGCACCATTCAACTCTGCTAGTGTGGCATCGCCAAGCCCGTCATCAGAGTTTAAGTTGTCAATGGCGTCCGACACGGCTTTGTCCAGGTCGAAGGAACGATCAAATTCCGCGTCCGAGTCCATACCGAGCGGCATCTCATCTTCGTCGCCAATATCAATGCCCGTATCCAGATTGGGTGCTTTGCACTCTTCTGCTTCGATGTCCTCCCGGTCACATGCATCATCACCGATTGAGCTGCCGCAAGCAGCACCAGAGACAACGCCAGGCGAACCAGCTCCAGCAGCTGGCACTGTGCTGGTAGCTGGTGACTTCTCAGAGCTGCCACCATCGCTTCCATCATCATCATCAGCAGCAGCAGCAGCAGCACAGCCATCGTTGTCATCATCAAAGTCAGCGAAATCTTTCATCTGAACAAGAAAAAAGAAACGGATCAGTCTTCAGTCTAGTCAATCCATCTCATATGAAATTACTTCAAATGAATTACTATAGGATGTGAATCAATACTTGTAGGGAGCCATGGGCAGGAGCAAAAAGAAGTACAGCAGAATTTATTTTTAAAGTTATCGAAAAGAGTGCTGCATGACGACCAGACACAGCAGCAGCACCAAAGCAAAGTGTCACCTCCCTTGCTGGTAATAGCAGGGCCGGAGACAGCTTCCGCGGAGCGGTGTGGCCGAAGGGTCATGTTTAAGGGGGGTCTTGGGGTCCTCCCCCAGATTTTTTTGGAATTTAGACGGCAAATCCTGCACTCTGGGCGACTCCCTGTACAAAATCATACATCGAAACTTTTAATCCCCGGTTTTGGACGTTCCACGTGGACCGAATTTTTGGGAAGTTGGTACGGCCATGGCCGTACCGGCCGTACCAGTGGCACCGGCCCTGAATAGGTGGGCAAGGAATCTTCGAAGGGAAGCTCAGATAAAGTCATTCACCAGCTCCAGTATAACATGCCTTCCAGAACAATCCATGACACACCCACACGGCGGACACGTGTCAACTGAACAGGGCATGTTAATCAGATACTTGAAGGACGAAATGACTTCTAGTTGTGTTACATTTTCACACATGCACTAGCCTGCATACACACCTGATGTCCAAGCCTCTTTGAGTTTATATACCTTTGCTCACTAAGCTCTGTCTGTCTGTCTGTCTGTCTGTCTGTCTGTCACACACACACACACACACACACACACACACACACACACACACACACACACACACACACACACACACACACACACACACACACAAACTCTCTCTCTCTCTCTCCGTTTACAGGACACACACAGACATCAACTATTATCATCTTTCAATCGTACCTCCGCTTCAAGCTGCTCGGCAGCAATGTCATCAATGCTGTCCAAATCCTGACCACAACCACCGCTGTCACCATGATCAAGGGCATCTTCCAGCACGCTCTCATCTGCTGCCCGGCGTTTCACAGGTGAAAACAAGGACGGTGAAGGAGGCCTTCTAACCGGCTTGTCGCGAGTAGCCTAGAGTGTCGGATGCAGCACAAGGAAAAAGCATGACGAGAACAAGAAGACGGGCTGTGGCGCAACATCTAAGTAAAGCGTTGGAATCTAATACATGCATACCTTCCACACGGACAGTGAAAGAAGTTAGTAGAACAATTTGTTGATCAAGGCTGAAAGTACATGCACTGCTCAACCTTTGAAATGTTTCGCGAAATTTTGGCATAAAGTGCCCTCGGTATAACATAAAATTCTGTGTTCATTCGGATATAAAGTATGTTTTTGAGGACCTTGGGAATCCTTTTTTACTCGTTTGACCTCGGATATAGAGTGGCTCGGCTAAAAATACTAGCGACAGATTTCTCCAGACCCTGGAGGTACATTTCACTGAAGTTTCACTCTATTGGGAATTGCTGGGTTGGCCAGTTAGCAAGATCTGCATGCAAATCCGTGATACAGCTAGCTATGCAGACGCCACAAACAATAGTGATACAAGCTGAGCAATGTGATGTGAGCAAGAAGACAATTGACAGATATTCTTCAACTCAACTTCAACTTCAATTGACAGATAGTTCTTCAACTCAACTTCAACTTCTTCTTCTCAAGTTTTTCAACAGTTTTTTTTTTAACTTTTTTTCTCTCTTACCGATGTAGACATTCCAGCCAAACCCACGTCTGGAAGGTCATCATCATCATCACTGGAATCTGAGTAGGCAGCAGGCGCCAAGGTAACATAAGATGCACACAAGCACACAAGAGCAAAGCATAATTATGCTAAAAGAAGAAGAAGACTCCAAATAAAATGACCCAGACGGCGTGTAAGTTCGAGCACTTCAAGTGATCTTGCGCACCGAAGAACGCAGGGTGCATTGACCCAACCTGCCATGCTCTCATTTCTCACCGTTCGAATGTATACGTGCAACTGTCCAATTTAGAAGGATTCCAACCTGGCTGTTAATAACGTATTAGGCAAGCAACATCATCGTAGGACAATAGGCAGTATGCCTGTGCACGGTGTTGGTGCAGGGTCTCCGGTTTCCCGGGGCACGGGGTCGTGGGTTTTCCCGGGTGTGGTGGGGTCTTGGGTTTTCCCGTGTGCGGGGTCTTGGCTTTCCCCGCGTGCGAGTGCTGCGTACGCCATGTTTTTCTAAACTCCCTGAACTCTGGCCCGCAGCTGTATACCCAAGAGTCCAAATTATAATTTCAACCGAACTTCAACAATCCAAGATGTGCGTGCAAGGAAGCACTCTGCTACCCTCACCGGCAATACTCACCGAAAAAAGTTGCCCTACTTCCTGGAGTGGTCCTATTCACAGTGTCACGGTCTTCAGCTTTGCGAGCAGTGCTGCTGGGGCCATTGTCATCACCACCACCAGCACTATCATCACAGTTGTCATCTGAATCAGAGTCCATGATGACCGCCTTACGCTTTCCTTTCATCACGGCTGGTGGGGGGACGGGTTGGCTGCATGTCAAGTCAATGATATTATCATCTGCAAACAGCTCGTCATCGCAATCCAGGCTTTCCTCGCCTGCAGGTACGTCGCAGTCGTCAGGCAGAAGACGGAGGCGAGGAGCATTGTGTGCTCCCAGTATGCGCCTGCCAGCCTGCCGAAATATGCCACTGGTAGCCTTGGCGGTGGTGACCGTAGTCTGAAAGGCGAGAGCGCAACACAGAGCAGTACAACGAAACACCACGATCAACGGCAAAGCTAACTTCGCGTCGATACCTTTCACATTCTGCGACAAAACGAGTGAGAGACAAAGCTCCACTAAGAGTAGCCAGCAAATGAACAAGTAAGTGCATTTACTTGTATCAACAAGCTTTTACCAGCGCACAAACACAGGTAACAGATAAGCATTCGTCTCGTGCTCGTCCCGCACTCGCATAACAAAGGGAAAGGTCTCTACTTACTGCATTCAACTACCACTGTTTGATGGAAGACTGAAGTCAAACATATGGCAGCCAAGAGGAGCAACATCAAGCACTCTTACACAAGAACACAACTCTTACCGGTACTTGCTTTTGCAATCGCTTCCCAGAGGATGAGCGTGAATCAGAGGCAAGTGGCTGAAACCGGGCACACGGATCGATGGGTGTTCTGGCTACAGATGAGGCCGAAGTGGGAGCAGGAGTGGAGCATAGTCGCTTGGCAGGGTTAGCATGAGGTGAAACTCCTAACAAAAACAGGAGGAAGAAATTCAACATAATTTTAAAAAGTCACATGCCTAACTCGTCCAAACTAGTTGACAAATCGACAAAAACTAATGAGGTCTAGATCAGCTAACGCCAAACAAACATGAACAGCAGATGCTGCATTCAATGACAATGAGGAGGCGAGTGACTGCTTCACGTGATGCGTAAAACTATCCAAGCTAACATACAGTCCACTGACCCGACACTCTGGATTTCATGTACTCTTGATAGTACCTATGCTTAATTTTCACTACTTGGTGAAATAAAGGAAATTGGGTCTACAGAAGAAACGGCCCTTCTCTCCATTTACTTCTCATGCTTTGAAGTACTTCCTCGCCATTCCGCATGCACAGGCACCTCTTCCGCCGCAAAGCCCCATACGGTACTTTCGTCGTTGTTAGTGAGTCAGGCCCAGTACGTCAGGCCCAGTAAGTCAGCCCCCCCCCCCCCCCCCCCCCCAGGCACACACAGGATCATGTCAATACCATGACTACTAGTACGTTGTATTTCAGATCGAACCTTTTCGAAGTGGAGCGTCCTCAAAGTCGTCGTCCTCATCTTCATCGTGAAATTTACCAGCAGAGAATATGGCCGGCGTGATCCGCTTGAAGGGCAAACGACCTTGGCTGCATCAACAAGAGTAGAGGCGCAGGCACATAGTATTATAGGTACCCACGCACACACTTTGTTTTTCCAACGATGCCCACCCCAGCCTTGCAAGCATAACGTTATTTATTTTTTAAATCCAATCTTGCCTGAAAAACGAACAATTGGACATGATTACTACAGATTGAACATCAAGCTTCCCAAATATGATATCATAATTACCCAGTCTACCTATCGAGCGCGGACCACTACTAGTATCCTTTCACACTCTGATCCCAGAGTGACTGTCGGAAAGGAGGGCCTCTTGGCTTGTCAATCGGATGACGTGTATCATAAATGTGAGTTTCTGCTACGCGGTAAAACGTACCAAAGTACGCATGGAAACATCGTCGCGGTTTCGAGATCAAGTTTCACACGGATTTTTTTCATACCGTCTCCGTGTGAAGACTGAGCACACAGAGTATATGTGGTGGGAAGTTCGAGCATGCTACGAGCATGCCACACACAGCAGAACCGGCGCAACGTACGAAAAATCGGTGTCAAGCTTCACTGCAGTTGACACGGAGTTTGGTACGTAGTTCCGTGTAGCAGAAACTCACCAATTATAAGACTTGCTACTTGCAGGCAAGTAGGCTGCTCAATTGCCCGCAAAAAAAGGCAGAGCTTTCCACACAGTAGAGGAAGAGAGAGAGAGAGAGAGAGAGAGAGAGAGAGAGAGAGAGAGAGAGAGAGAGAGAGAGAGAGAGAGAGAGAGAGAGAGAGAGAGAGAGAGAGAGAGAGAGAGGGAGAGAGAGAGAGAGAGAGAGAGAGAGAGAGAGAGAGAGAGAGGGAGAGGGGGGGGGGGGTGTTGCTACTCACAGTATCACATGTTTTAAAAGTCATGTTAATCAGTCAAGCGACTCAACTGGTGGTCAAAAACAGGCAGCCGAACGTACAGGGGAGTGAGGGAGTTGAAGTCTGATTATACTAGACAGTCAAGACTAACCGTATTATCTCTAATATAAGCACAGTCTCCAATAATAGCACGTCTCCAATAATAGAACACCTTGGGGCGGCATTCAAAAAATAAAGTGCTCAGTCTCCATTATAAGCACACTGTGAAGTGCTCACTGTGAAGTGCTCTGAAAACCACCTGGGCTTCCAATAAAGGACACCATACGGTAGTATATGTACGCACATTGCATGAACATGTACATGTTATCATGGTCAGTTGCGCGATCGCGCGCGGTGCACCAACCTCTGAAATGAGGTTGAAATATTAATGGAACAGTCTCCAATAAAGCAACGTCTCCATTAATAGCACTGGGCGGAGGTACATTGAAAAAATAAAGGACCGTGCTTATATTAGAGATAATACGGGTATTGCCTACACCTACAGTTTGCGCCGTGCTTCCCCCTAATCACCTCGCTCCCCCGCCACCAGTTGACTGAACGATCGTGATAATCATTCAGTTGCTACACAGATTCCTCTCTCTGTCTCTCCTTCTCTCTCTCTCTATCTATCTATCTCTCTCTCTCTTTCTCTCTCTCTCTCTCTCTCTCTCTCTCTCTCTCTCTCTCTCTCTCTCTCTTTCTCTCTCTCTCTCTGTCTCTCTCTCTGTCTCTCTCTCTGTCTCTCTCTCTGTCTCTCTCTCTCTCTCTCTCTCTCTCTCTCTCTCTCTCTCTCTCTCTCTCTTCTCTGTCTGTCTGTCTCTCTCTGTCTCTCTCTCTCTGTCTCTGACTCTGACTCTGTCTCTCTCTCTCTCTCTCTCTCTCTCTCCACTATGTGACTTTCTATTCTATATTATAATCTATGTGCAGTCGTCCCTCTCTAATACGCTTTAATCCGGCACTTGAATTCCGTCTCCAGCAGCGATTTTCTGCAACGAATCGCTCAAACTGTACATACAATGTAAACTCAGAAGTAAGGGAGAGGCTTCTTGCAGTTTCATTTAGAAGACATTGAAGCTGACAAGCTCATTCCCATAACTCTGCAAAACACTGAACATAGTTTTCAATTCACATCCATTTTTCAATTTTAGTAACATTTCGGCATTTCGCCATCATCGAACGCCTTATACAATGTAAAAAAGCTGATATAAACAGCATTACAGGAAGGGTTTCCAAATCTTTTTTAATGTAGCACATGCATTGACGCTGCCCACGCGCACGCCAGTCTAGAAGAACTGAGCGAAAGCTTTGTAGCGCAATACACCCTTTGTGCTACTGAAATTCTGCTGGATTAGGGAGGTTGCTGTTAACCTTTTGAGCACGCGTGACGTTCTGACACGTCATGACCACTGCCACTGTGACACGCGTGACGTTCTAGGACGTCACGAGTCAGTGCGGAACTACATCGATCCCGCGTTTCTTCCGTGGCGTGGCGTCGAGCTGTACCGCTGCACAGAGGACTCCTAGTATGTACGCGTACCGTAAAAAAAAGTGCGAGTCGCTCCGCAAGTTTGAACTGGAGTTACATGCGCGTGCATACATTTCCAAATACCAATTTCGCGTATAACTACCTTATGAAAACGGTCATAACTTTTGTAATCTTTGTCGTATTTTCAAAACGAAAACAGTTCTGTGCTCAGGATACATGAAAGAATCGTTTGAAATCAAGTTTGGTCACATAGAGTGAATTAAATTTTTTTACTGCGTGGCAGAGGTTTTCAATGGGCCCGGGCTCAAAAGGTTAACAAATCTATTGGTGCAGCGGGCATGAAAATGACATTTTGGCTGCTGCAAATTATGCTGCTTTATAGGGTGTGCTGGGTAATGCCAAGAGTAGATAAACAAGAGTGTGCAACTCGGGATGGGTTGGCCCACGGCGGAATTTTTTGTTGACGTAATCTTTTCGACGACGCACGCGCTGCGAGTCTTTTGCAAATTTTTCCCTCGTGCACTTGGCCGCATTTGCACTACAAAGTCGGTGCCCAGCACGTGCTCTCACACTGCTCTGCGGCATAATGCGCCTTTCTCTGAAAAAAGGTGACGTGAACAAAAAATTCCGCCGTATCTGCAGATTGTGCAGGAGAGATCCGGAGTTGCACACTCCTGTTTATCTACTCTTGGTTATACTCATGGGAGGTTCTGGTTTATAAAATGCTGGATTGAGGGGGACGACTGGACTGGCACTAAACCAAAAAGAGTAACACTAACTATTTTTTAGTAACTTCTATTAAAATTGCAAGATGATCTTCTCTATAAAGTACTGAAAGTTCATAAACACCTACCTGAGACTGCTATTCATTGTATGACGGATATTTCAATGCAGGACATCAACGAAAAGTTGTAGTTGGAGAAAAATTACTTATGCTCTCCCTCATCACTACGGCCTAAATGTATCTCCTGTACTTGTATTCTGATTATCCAACGTCAGTCACCAGAGCAGATCAATATGGCCAAGGCATCTTCGTGGAAGAAAACGGTAAGTACCTCCGACTCCGAGGCTCCGGGATCAAGACATAACTACAAAGTAGTTTCGGTCGAATCGATCGATCAGACAACCAAATCAGCTCAGTACAAAACCGACGAGTTGTGGCCGCGTGATCGATGTGAAAGTGGCCGTGCATGGCCGCTGACGATTTTTGGAATCTCGCGCCTTTAGTTATCGTGATCACGTGGCCTAGTAGATCTACAGCATGCACTACCCACTAGTGCTGTAGATCTACATAATATAATTATATGTAGAGCAGAGCTAGAGAGAGTTCAAAATCCGCTGCAGCCGGAAAACATGGATGCAGTGAAGGTGAATCACTGAATGGGATTTTTTCGGTCTGTGAATTTTTGTTCCACTGAATGACTATGTCAGTACGTGCATGTAAGTTAGGGTGCGTTCTTATATTCTCTAGCTTCTAGAAGAAGAAGAAAAGAGAAGTCGAAGAAACTGGGATTTACTCAAGAACGGGTCTCGAAGGAGATATTTTGCACATCAAAATGAAGCGCCAAAGGGGCCGCGATCTTGAATGATGAATGTAGTAATGCACGTGTAAAAAAAAAATGTGTGCGTATGCGAAAAGGAAAATGCGTATACTCATGATGAACACGTGGCTTTTAGTCGTAGTTCGCATGCGCTGATCCCAAACCGCGGGAATCTCCAAGTTTCAACCACCTCTGAAGCTTGGAGAGCTCGGAGAGCTTTATATTTTGGAGAGCCTCCTAAGTAAAAGTCGGAGAGGATATAAGAACAGCTCTCGAACTTTTCGGAGAGTCTCCAACTTTTCCGAGAGCGCACCCTTAGTTGCTAGCGGTATGACATTGCCGACTCGAGGAGAAGAATACGCATTCAGGAGCTGCAGATGAGGTGAGTACAGCCTTCTGCTGAGGTGGTTATGTTGATATTTCCCCCATGCCAGATGATAACGTTGCAACATCAGGGAGTACATGTAGTTTTTTTTTTAACTTTTTACTCAAGCCTCTTGTACGGGCAAGAATACCATACTGATCAATAATAGCAATGCATAATAGCAATGCAACTAAAACCCAAAACAAATTTAAAATGTAAAGAACTCAAAGCAAATGGACATCAGAGAGTAGTACAATACCGCGTATTGTACTACTCCCTGATCAACATCATTGGGAGCATCAGCTGCAGCAACCTTGTAAGCGGATTGGTGTGGCTTGTTTCGTCTATCTGTTCACTATCCCTCTCCTGGTGCTGCTTTGGGCGCGTTCAGACTACCGTTAACCCCGTCAAACCGTGAACCCCGTCAAACCGTGAACGGCATTCACACTACCGGTAAACTTGTGCAGCTCTCACCGCGGCACCGAAAAGGGATTTCCCCCTACTGACAGCCCGAGCATCTTTTGCCATGCCAACCAATATGGCGTCCGTGCGGGGCAGTTTGGAAAAGTTTTTTTTGCCGAATCGTGCATAGGTACTAGGTATATAGCGGCCCGCGAAGTTCAAATACAGTGTGTATTAGTTCACATCGCACAGCTAAGTTCTAGAAGTTAGTTATTATAGTATTGAGTCGTCTGAATATTCCTCCAGTAGAGTATGGCTGCTATGTTCGCTGGTCTTTCTCTTTTGCAGTGACGTGGCGCATAGGTATATAGCGGCCCGTGAAGTTCAAATACAGTGTATAAGTTTCCATCGCACAGCTAAGTTCTAAAAGTTATTGAGTCGTCTGAATTTCCCCTCCCTCCAGTAGAGTATGGCTGCTATGTTCGCTGGCCTTTCTCTTTTGCAGCAAAGTAGTGGTAGAGAAGAGGGTGACTCTGCCCGAAGTAGACTGTTGCAAGCCCACGTGCATCGACCTGTCCGTAGTGTTCAGTCCAGGTATCGCTCCCTGCGAAGCCACGATAGTGTGAATCTTCAAGTTTCTCGCCGATCTTCACGCCATGACGTTCTTCTTCTTCTTGCAGCGGAGGATGCTGCCTCGTCCATGAGGCGAGAGCGGCGCTGGTGGTCAATTCACCACACTGGTGGCCAACTGGGTTTCTGGGAGACCAAAGTGAAGCAATGGCATCGCATTGCGGACGAATTTGGGATGCCAGGAGACGCTGACGACTATTTGGACATGCGTTATTTGCGCACATACAGAGTAGACTGTCGGACGTTTGAGTTCCTGCTCCGTCAAACCTGCAATGACCTACAGCAAGAGTCAACTAGGTTTCGGACACCTGTACCCCCTGCCAAGCGCCTGGCAATTTGTATGCACTGGCTTGCGCATGGTCTTACGTTTGACCAGCTAGGCGAGCTGTATTGCATTGGGGCGTCAACTGCCCATGATATTGTGCATGCTGCAGTCAGTGTTTTTAAAAACATCCTGGTACCAGCAGCCATCAAGTTCCCTTCTGGTAGGGAGCTGGAGGACGTCATCGCTGGCTTCAGTGATCTAGCTCAGCTGCCCATGTGTGCTGGTGCGATCGATGGTACTTTTGTGCATATCAAGAAGCCTGCTCTCTGGGGAGACAACTATTGGTGCTATAAAAACTTTATAGCAATTCATATGTTGGCAGTGTGCGATCACCGCTGCCAATTCACTTTCGTGGATGTCGGCAGAGCTGGTTGCGTGGGAGATGCTTTCAGCTACGCAGAAAGCTCTCTGCGCCGACGTATTGTTGGTGGCCGGTGGCTCCAAGATTTGCACCGCAACTTTGATGGCACCACTGTTCGTCCCTATTTGATAGGTGACAGTGCGTTCCCTCTGGAGCCTCAACTGATGAAGTGCTACGACCAGGCACGCTTCCAACACCAGACAAGGTTCAACAAGGCACTGATATCATCCCGACAGAAAATTGAGAACGCGTTTGGCTTCTATAAAGGGCGTTGGCATGTTCTCATTGAGAATTTCATCCGAGACCCGGCTTTTATGAGAGACGTTGCATTGGTCTGTGCAGCTCTCCACAATATCTGCCAGAGAGCCAATTGCAAGTACAGTACGACATGGAATGCCGACGAAGCAAATTACATTCGCATAGGACCAGAATTGCCACCAGCGGCACCTGCAGATCTACCTGGCGGGGGCGATGTCCGCTTTGCAATCTCTTCAATGCTGTGATAGCAGACTGTAGTACTGTATAGTAGTTACTATTACAATCCAAACCATGCAAGTTCACAACGTAACTGCTACTGCAGGCTATCACGTTAGTTTGGTCAATGCAATACTATCATCATCATTCTTTGTGCACTTGCTCGCAGGTGCAGAATAAAAGTGTAGAACTAGAAGGAGAAAAACAAGACACACCTGACAAGGCGAGGAGTATGTGACATCATGCAGGGAGTTTATTTTGAGAACAGCTTCACAAGCAGGGATGCGTTGAATTCCTTCTCTGACTGCCTGACGCCAGCAGCTCTCTTTTCTCTCTGTTCTTCTTTCTTCTCCTCGTACTCTCTATTCTCTTTTGCTTTGGCTTCATCGTATTCTCTCTGTTCTCTTGCTTTGGCTTCCTCATACTGTCTGCGTTCTCTCTCTCGTCGGTCTTCGGCTTCTTCTCTCTGTGTCTCAATACGCAGCTGGAACTCCTGCTGCGCCAACACTCTTCTTTCCTCTGCTGCTATTTCTTCCTTGCGCATTTCCAACTGGATGGCTGCGAATGAATTGTCTGTTGATGCTGGCCGCTTGCGTGTGGTCTTTCGACTTTGCTTCCTGCCCGGCTCCAGATCTGATTCCGAATCAGAGTCACCATGCGGAGTTTTCTGTCCGACACCAGGCATGTTTACTTGCACTGGTGTGACAGGGGCTGGTGGGGCTGGTGGAGCTTCTGCCTGGGCTTCTTCTGCTCCTTCGCCGCTGATAGCAGTATCTACATTGTTCCCGCCTGGTCCAAAAGACTGATTCTTGAAGAAGAGGGAATGATATTGAGGGAAATTCGCCCAATCTTTGTACGCAGCCTGCAAGAACGCGGGAGCAGCACGAAATAAATATGCATGTCATTTGCATGTCATTTGCAGTACGCATAGGAGTGTATACAAACCCACACACTCATGCATGTCAACAGTCCCTGAGATATGCAGGAGTACATCGTCAGTAGTACACATGTACATGTAGGAGGATGAAATAAATAATTATGATAAATGTAAGACACATAATCATTCATGATTACCTTGAGGTCGAAATCACTTTCCACAGGAGCACCTGTGCGGGTTTTCAGCCTAAATGTCCGGTACATCTTCTTGCCCTTCCTTCGAACGGAATCTATCTTATGCTCCACATTTGATGCTGTGACAGTAGGCCACCCCACAAGCTTCCCCATGTCGTTCAGCTTGTCCGCTATCATAGTTTGCTTCTCTACAGTGGTCAATGTTTTGCCTGACGAACCAGCAAAGACTTCCACGTATAGGCGCATGATCTCCTTCTCCATGCCCTGGTCAAATAGTGACTTCGGCATCGTGAAAACACTGGTGCTGAATAGAGTCGAGTCACAGTCCGGGGAAATACTAAAATAGTCACACACCATAGAGGAGTCGAAACCGCAGAAGTGCGTGGTAGACAAGAGTCCAAACTAGCACGTGCTCCACTTTTTTACTGCCGGCAACCTGTTCCCAGCGCAGAAGACGCGCCAGTAAAACTTTCCCGCCGGTAACGTGCCAGTAACGTCACGTGATCAAATCACCTTGCCAACTTTTCCATTCCGTCACTTTTTATCGGTAGTCTGAACGCGCCCTTAAAGGGGAAGTTAAGGCTGAATCAAAATTTCACCAGTTGTAGTCCTCGGGGTGCTGAGTCGAATGGTCTTGGTCCGAGAATGCTGAGACGCTCCCTTCCTACTTTAATCCCAATCGAACTCGCGCACTTCCCGGCCGAAACTGGGTGAGTCCAGGACAATCTATGGAGGTTTTGCTTTATCAGCTCTGCCGCTAGAGTTACGGAGTTCCCTCAACAGTACCTGACCATTTCACAACGCCACAATGCTTCGAAGCGACATTGCCGCAGTAAGCAGCAGAAGGTGAGAAATGGCTGCGATGCATTGTTCCTCCTTTATTCCCAATCGAACATGGTTGAACAAGCGGTCACGTGCTCCTGGGTGCCTAAATCACCTGGTCACCACGCCAGCAGGCGACGACTTTCACACCAAGGTTCAACTCGAGTTCAACTCGAGTGACAGGACTGCACCCAAAAATGGTCACAGGCTAGTAAGTTGTACCCTGCAGGCACGGTGACCAGGTGACTGGTGTACGCAGGAGCACGTGACCGCTTGTTCAACCATGTTCGATTGGGAATAAAGGAGGAACGCTGCATCGCAGCCTTTTCGGACCAAAACCAGTCGAGTCAGCGTCCAAAAGACTACAACATATGGGCCAATCACGGCCATCCGTGCTTTTATAAGAACTAGGGGTCAAACGGGTGTACCTTTAGCTAACGAACGGGTAATTTTCTTAAGGGGCGGGTTAACGGGTACCCTTTAGCAGCCATGTTCAATTTTTGCGCCAGTTTCACATAAATCATGATTTTAATTCATCTGTCCTCAGGTTGCATTTTGACATCACCAAGAGTACATAACCAGTGGCACTGGTTATGTACTCTTGATATCACATTATGATTCGCAAATTGATTTGTGTCTGATAGTTGTAGAGGTACTACCGTACTGGCAATATATGTTGCCGCAGTGAGGCCATGAAGCGTTACATTGGCACATGTTTGCCGCACGCAGGGCGTTACATGCAAAGTCGCACAGGAGCCGTTACACAGGTTTCTATATTGCCGCAGTCCTTTTTTTGCTATTGCAGGACTTCCTGCTGCGTCCAGTTTTGAACTTTTCACCACGCGGTACACGTACTTTCACAGTTTTCAGCCTTTTTTGCAATGAAAAGATCGCCGCACCCCGCCGGACGCGCGTTACGAACTCAACGAAAATTTGTCGCACTAGCCTGGTCGCGCGTTACGCCGCACCCCCCTGCGTTACGCGTTACGCGGCAACATATATTGCCAGTACGGTAGTAGATATACTAGGGGCGAAAATGCAACAGCAATGCAGACATCCATCCAGGAGCTGTAAATAATTGACTGCCGCCTGGAATGATCGATCTAAGCAGTGTTGTGTCGTACTGTTTAGATCATCGAAATCCAAACGGGTACCCTTTTACTAACGGTACCGGAGATTAACGGGCGGGTACCCGGAACACCCCTTTGACCCCTAATAAGAACGGCATGGCGCTTTTAGTGACATTTTGCATACAAATCCCCATCTAGTAGGGCGCAGTCACCCAGTTTCGGTGGAAGTGCGCGAGTTCGATTGGGATTAAAGTAGGAAGGGAGCGTCTCAGCTTCCTCGGACCACGACCATTCGACTCAGCACCCCGAAGACTACAACTGGTGAAATTTTGATTTTAGCCTTAACTTCCCCTTTAAATGAGACGGATCAAGTTGTTTGATGGATCATTTCACCTTCTGCTGCTCACTGCGGCAATGTCGCTTCGAAGCATTATGGTGTTGTGAAATGGTCAGGTACTCTTGAGGGAACTCCGTAACTCTAGCGGCAGAGCTGATAAGCAAAACCTTCATAGATTGTCCTGGACTCACTCTTGTCCTGGTTTGTGTTGGCTGTCAGGTCCGCTCAAATGATCTTGAGCGCGATATTCAAGATCCTTTCGATTTTGGCAAATTTTCTGGTTCACTTTCATCCGACTGTTCTGACTCTGACACATTTTGAACCGTTTTATTATGCTGAAGTAATAATAATTGTCATCGGACTTGTCGCCATCAGAACTACATCCGCCATCATCCATACCTGGACGCTTCCGCTAAATCACGAACTCTACAGTGGAAGGAAGATCGACTAAGGTGACTGATAATTATAACCTTGTCTCGAAATGAGGAACATAGCCATATAGGCGGTGAAGCTTACAGCTTCACTAGGAATCATGTGAAACCTAGAAGGCAGTGCAGCAGCGGTGGGAACTGACTACCCCAACCACCTGGCTTGCAACATGACTTCTTTCAAAATGCTACATTGTAGCATTTTTGAAAAGGGCAACAACACAATCATCACTGTTGCGAGATTATCCGGCGCCTATTGGATAAGCATGCCATGTTGAACTACGTGTGCATAACATAATAAGGTGTAGAGTGTAGCAGTGCTGGGTGCACTCAAGTACAATGTTGTTAGCTAGCTGGGAATTGATGGGGCCCCATGATTCAGATTATGTTGGAGACACCACGCCTCTCTGCAGACAGCACGTGTGACCAGTTTTCGCTCGTCTGCTAGTTCAGTAGCTGGCATTAAAAGCAACCATACTGCCACTGAGTTTCTTGCAGATACGCCGCTGCTCGTCAGTGCTAGTTTTATATAATACTAAAACAAGCATATAATGCTACTTATAATGCTAGCATTAGCCGCCGATGCCCACACACGCGCACACACACACACACACACACACACTAGTCACAACCGGACTTAGATTGAACTCTTGAGAACTAACTCCAATCAAACGGATGTGAAAGCGGCCTGAAGAGAACAAGGCTCGATCGTACTAAAAAGGGACGTGAAAAGTGTAGTCGTAAGGCAAATGCAGTTAGCATAATCAAGTATAATTATCAAAGCAAGCTTAGCAATGGGATCAGCACGGAGAGCGAGTAGATAGCTGTGCTAAAGTCAGCAAAGAGTAAAGCATTGAATGTATTTTCCACATCGGCCTGATGTATAGACGGAAGCTCATTAATTTTGCTGCTACACTAATATTAATTGGGTCACTGGTCCACACATGCACTGGGACACTGGTCCACATATAACAGGCAATGCCCTACACACACTGGGTCACTGGTCCACACACAATGGGATCTGGTCCACACAGAGGCTGTGTCACTGGTCCTTGCACACACTGGGTCAGCAGCCAGTGGTATAGTTGATATGGTTCTCCTGGCGATCATGTCATACGCTCTCCTAATGTCTAAACCTTCGCCATGACATCGAACTGAAGAATGCGACGGAGAAGTGGCGGTGTTTCGAGCTTGGTAATAGCTGCAGCAGGACCGTACCATTGGCAAGCATTGATGACGGCGGAGCGGGACAATTGCGATATTGAGCGTGGCTGAGGTGCTGGTCTGACAAGATCCTTAAC